AAAAAAAAAAAAAAAAACACATCTTAGTAAAACCAATACCTTCTCAGCTTCGCATCGAAGCTAAAAAAAAGGCCTAAAATCAATTTTGCAAATCGAATTATATCTAATCATAATGCGGTCCTCATTGCTCATTGACAGCGATCCAGGGTGCAATTCTCACCGTGCCCCCGTGGTCAGTCGGTCTCACTTTCTTTGAATATATTTTAATGCTCCTATATAAAATTCCTTCAATAGGTTTATTTCTAATAAGAAAAATATTTTTCATAATTAAATTTGAATATATTAGGAATACTTTAAAAGTTTTTAAGACGAGTTTTGTGAATTTGACACTTTGGGTGTATATGGTGCGTGATTGCGTCGTGAGCGAGTGCCAATACGAAAGTATGTCGAGTGTCGCAAAAAATCATAATCTAACCGAATTTTGTGATAATTTTAAGCCTGAACAATCATATACGTAATAAACACCTATCTAAGTACAAAAAAGCCGTGTTTACTTATAAATCCCTGATACCCCATAAACCTAATATCAACAGTCCTTGGTTACCTCTCACGTATTACTATATCGTTTCTAAGGTTGAAATCGTTATCGTGAAGGCAACAATATTTAAATGATTTTCACTTCTTTATCACTTAATGATACGCATCAATAAGTGTTTTAATTAAAATTAGATATTAAGTATTTACTCTGACCAATTCGTATTGAATATACAAGTTAAGATATATCATATTTAAATCTAATGTTTACATACCATTATTTAACAAAATTACAAACAAGGTTGTTATCTGCGAATACACCATATAAGGTTTGAATATAATATTATGACAGTATAGAATTCAAAATTGTTATTATTTACTTTAAGATTTATATTAATTAGTAATTTTTGAGTGTCATGGACCAATGGATAGATACAACAGATATCGTTCCATATAATGACCAAGTTGGAGGTCATAAATTCACTGAGGAAAAACCATTATTAGGTTGTAACAAAAAATTACATATTATATTGTGTGACATTAAGCATAGTACTTTTGCTATATTCAGGTTTATTGAAACACAAAGAAGGTTACATTCTCAAATCTGTTGAAGGTGGCTCTAAAGGCAAAAATGAAGTCAAGTTTTATGAGGAGTTACAAAAAAATGAACATTTAGCAGAACTTAAAAAACTGGTTCCATCATATTATGGTACAGTCATACTAAAAGTTAAATCAAATGGTGTGTTTAATTAAAATATTAAATTTTTAAAAAGCTGTTAATCTTAATTGATTATTTCTAGATATGAATTTCATTATTTTGGAAGATATTACTAGAAATATGAAAAAACCTTGTGTCATGGATGTTAAAATTGGTGTGCAAACTTGGGAACCAGGATGTTCAGAAAAAAAAAAAAGAGATGAAAATGTAATTTTTATGTAATATTTACAAAACATTTAATATATAAAAAAGTTCCTTAAACTACAATCATATTATTGCCATCCAAAAAATTCTTAAATATCTCATTAATATCAAAAATATAATTTTTTTATAATAAAAACTTATAAAAGTTAAATGAACACTAGACATCAGTCTAAATTAAAATATATCTGTCAACTTTTTGTTATATTGTTCCAAATTTTTAAATGGACCTATAAACTTTTTATTATAAATATTAATATCTATTAATCATATATTTAATTTCCATATTTGTTATAAGTATTTATTTTAATTGAGTTACTTTATTTTATATGTAACAAAATGTTATTTTTGCTATTTTTTTGCAGACCAAGTATAGGAAATGTAAAGAGAAATGGAGTTTCTGCATTCCAGGATTTCAAGTTTATGATTTAGCAGATTCAAATTCAGAACAGCCTCATAAATTTGATAAAGAGTTTGGAAAAAAATTAAACCCAGAAGAAGTTGTTTCTGGTAAATTTATTAATGACTTTTATTTTTGTATATAATACTCATATCTTTATAAAATAATTATTTATTTATTCTAGTTTTCAAGACATTTTTAAATTTCAATAGTAAATGTTCAAATCTTTCAAAATTAGTTCATGGTTTTGCTCATGAATTAGATCGAATTCGGAAATATTTTGAAAATCAAAGGCATAACCACTTCTATTCTAGTTCAGTACTATTGGCATATGATGCTGACTCAATAAAAAATGATGAGAATTATAATCCCGAATTAAAAGTTTCACTTATTGATTTTGCGCATGTTATTCCAGCTAATCAAACTGATGTTAATTATTTGGATGGTATTTCAAATTTATGGCAACTTTTTCAAACACAATTATTATAAATCTAATGTTATAATCTCAAATAGTTTGGTGGTTATGAAGCTTATATATAGTATATCAATGTTACATTTGGTTTTATTATGTTTTTTTAATTGTGAAATTATGTTATAAGTTTTTTATTTTTGTTATTTATTTAAATTATAGAAATTTAATAAATTAAAGGAAAATATGAGCTAATTATATTTTGTGCTTATTTTGGCATCAAACTTACCATAGCCAATAATTAATAAAAAAATTGTAAAAGAAGTAGTCTGGTTTTTCATTTATTGAAAATTATCACTTACTAATAATTTTAATAGTTAAAAAATTTATACATTTATTTGTTTTGGATTTGATACTAATTGTATACCCAATAATTATTTTAATTGTTTTTACTTCTTACTTTGCTTGATATCTTGGTTATGTTATATTAATCTGTAGTCTTGCTTTTTGAGGCATAAATTTAATAATAAAGAAAATAATTTATAAAAATATAGATATATCCTGTAAAATATATAAACTCAATATATATTTAATTAATTTGAAGCACCAAACTAAAAAATATAAACAGTACTATTTTTATATGTAATTGCTCTCATAAAGATAATTTCAGTGGATAATCTAAGAATACAGCAGTACCACCAAGACAAAATCTAGCAATGCTAATATATCTTTACATGAAACTATTTGCCCAATATTCTAACATCAGTTTCCTCTTTAGTAATGCTTTTTAAACATAAAACAAATTAGACTCTAGTAACTTAGAATACTAAAAAAAATATTTGGCCCTTAATTTATAGTAATTCATTGTTTTCTTCATTTACGTTACTGACCTATTGACTAACTTATTTATCAAAATTATAAGACACTTCCTGTATTAGTTGCAACGTACAATTCAGCATGGTAGGTCCTACTATTTAAACAGTGTAAGTAAACAGACAAAAACTGAACATTTTGAGCAGATCTTTAACAAAAATGTAACAGTAAAGAAATTTTTTAGTTTCAACCCTTTCCCTTCCAAAAAATGTCCACCAATCAATGTTTAAATTTGTGTGTTGTGGCTAAATTTACTGTTTTTTTTTAGTTCATTAACTTTAATCCTACATATATAAACAACATTGTTCCATTATTCGTATTGCTTAATATTTCACCAAGTACTATATTTAGGAATTATGTGAAAGTAAGTATGGAGTATCAGAAGGTTTTCGGGTAAGAGTAGGAGTGCACCAAGGTTCTGCTTTAAGCCCTTACTTATTCTCTATAATGATGGATGAAATTACTAGACAAATACAAGGAGAGGTGCCGTGGTGCATGTTGTTTGCCGACGATATAGTGTTAATAGGAGAAAATTAATCAAAAGTTAGAGGTGTGGAGATTAGTTCTTGAAAAAAAGGGTTCAAGAATAAGTAGGAGTAAAACAGAGTATATAGAGTACGAGTTTGACAAAGGAGAAAACGAGGTAGGTGAAATGAGGAGGTCAGTGACAATAGGCGAGGAAGTGATTGGAGAGGTGAAGAGTTTTAAGTATGTAGGATCAGTTGTGCAAAAGAGCGGTAGTATTGACGAGGATGTAAGACACAGAATTAAGTGCGGGTGGTTGAAGTGGATTGAAGCGTCTGGCGTCTTATGCGATAAAAGAATTCCAATGAGGCTGAAAGGTAAATTCTACAAACTGTAGTGAGACCAGCCATGATGTATGGTTCAGTGTTGGGCGGTTGATAAGAAAGTAGAGCAGAGAATGAGTGTAGTAGAGTTGAGAATGCTCAGATGGATAAGTGGAGTGACTAGAGAAGATAGAATAAGGAACGAGCATATAAGAGGGAGTATAGGTGTAGCATCAATCGTGTATAAAATGAGAGAAAATAGATTTAGATGGTTTGGTCATGTTATATGAGGAGAGAAGAATCGGAAGCTATAAGAACAGTTATAGAAATGAATGTTGAAGGAAGAAGAGGTAGAGGAAGACCAAAAAAGAAATGTAGGGATGCTATTGAATGCGATTTGAGGACAGCTGATATGAGCGTAAATGATATCGGAGATTGTGTCAAGTGGAAGTTTAGGATAAGAGTGGCCGACCCCAAGTAGTTGGGATTAAGGCGAGTAAGAAAAAGAAGATGTGAAAAATGAGAATAGAACTAGGAAGAAAAAAGGTCAGATCCCCCAAAGGAATTTATTGGAAATTGTAGCAAAATCTGTTCTATGATTTATTCAAAAACTGGCCAAGCGTAAATCTATTCATATAAAAGAGCAATATTGCTCATGAATTTAGTCATAAAGTTTATAAATTAAGGAAAGATCAAATATAAAATAATATTTATGTAGCAAATATTTATGGCGTTGCATAAATATTTGCATATATTTATGCAACACAATTAAATTGAAATACAATTAAAGTATACAAAAAGATTATGATTGTATTTGGAATAGGTAACATAAGACAATTATATAATTAATAGAAATAAATCCAAGATCAATAACAATTTTTTAAATTAAATGTTTTTGTGATAATAATACTTGAAATATTATATTTTTCATAAATAAACATTATTGTTTAATTTATAGTATTCCATACCTGATTATGCATACACATAGGTAAATTTTATTTAATATTTAGCAAAAAAAAATAAATTAGCACTATAATTTAGTATAGTACAATTTTATATATGTATATAAATATAATCTGTTTCTTGTTAAATCAAAAGTTATAACACAGAAGAAGAAAGTTTTCAAAATAAGAATTTTAAATGTCACACATTTTCTTTGATAATCATTGCAAGATCAATCCAATCTAAAATTTAAAAAATTTGATTTAAATTTAGTTTAAAATAATTATACAATAAAATGTATAATTCAATTTATAATTATTGATGAATTGTATAAATGACTACTGTACAAACTTCATTACCTTATTGCTATTTAATTCTGGGCATTTCCAGTTGTACAAATAATATTGTAAATTACCATCACCAACACCAAATTTAAGTTGTTCAAGAAATTCTTTATTATCCATTAAATCTAAGGCATTGAACACATCAAAATTTGCCTAAATCACAATAATTTATATTATAAAATTGTAACTATTTAAGCTAGGCCATAAAATTTACATCTCTAGCTGATATAAGAGCATCTTGCATTAATTCTATCCATGGTGTTTTGGTTGAAACATTGTAGAATGAATAAGCTGCTTTTAATGTACGATATGTAGGATGATGCATAATTGTTGATGGAAGTGTATAAAAACTGACTAGATCTATCAATAAGTAAAATACATAAACCAGGTTATTAGAAATAAACCTGTTATAATTAAATTTTAGTAATTATAATATGAATATTTCACTAAACATAATTTGTTAATACAAATGGTTAATAGACCAAAAAGTGTAAATGACTTTTTAAAAATATAATTTTTACAAAAAAATATTGAGTTTTAAAACAAATTGAAGAATATGATCCATGTATAAATTAACTTTAAACTCAATTATAAAATAAACAATTTCATTTAATATTTTAATAATATATATTTTATACTACTTATACAAAAATAATAATCTCCTATTTTGTTTTAAACAAATAAAATTTTTATTATGTCTTGTATTGTATAGATAGTTTTTAACTATAAATCTAATTATGTTTTTTAAATGAAATTAATTATTTTTCAATAAAATGAATATTAATCAGTTTAAATTGTAGATTTAAATAATATTTTGTGAAAAATATTACCAACCTGTGATACTATTATTATTTTCAACCACATAGGCATCAATAATACCTTCTTGAGGTAAAAACCAATGTTTAAACTCTTCTTCTGAAAACGCTGGAGATAAGTCAAAAGATTTAAGATACTATAACAAATGAAAAAATATTAGATAAACTATTCATCTATTTAATTGTGTATTCTAACATTTGCTAATAGAGTTTTGGCCTGTGGTAAATCCTTTTCAGTTAGTTTACGAAAACCAGGAGTATGTGTTGATTCAGGTAACTTATGTAATTTTAATGTTCGTTGCATAGTCATATTACGACTTAAATGTGAAAATTTTACATCAATCAACTTCTTTGGATTCAATGATCGATGCCAATATCTTAATCATAAACACATTTTTAATGTGTACAAAATTATTAATTTAATAATAAAATAAGTGGATAGAATTACCTGCATGATCCAATTGGTTTTGGTAAAACAATTCCAGCTGTATAAACAGCTTGAAAAATACCAGTTTGATTTACACGTCTAGTTATTTCTCTGATTAAAACTGGAGCTACCCTTTTACTACGCAATTTCTTATGGACACAAAGAAAGTTTATCTCAACCATTTTTTGAGATCTAAAATTACAATTTTGTTAGAGGAAGAAATTTAATTTTAATAAAATTAAATAATTACTTATTATAAACATTGAGCAATGCTGGAATGGCACTAATAAAGCCTACAAGTTTATTGCTCTTTGTAACTCTGACACCCACATGCCATTCCTTTAACCAACCAGGAGGCTGAAGAGCCCTAAAATAACAATAAAATAAAAAAGTTGTATTTAAATTAATTTATGTTTAATAAACATCATTTCTTTATCTGAAATATATATAAACTTAATAATGAACCATTAAAAGAGTTAAAAGTAAAATTACACTATAAATGGATACCATAGTGGGACACTCTTGGACCTAGTGATACTCCAACAGGTTATGACATCTTTAATAACATTTGATCCAGCAAATATTTTTGTTACTTTTAATAGTTTTTACAATTTTAGACTACAATAAAATGATATTTTTTTATTGAAATTTCAAAATAGCCATTATTAGCATTTTTTAAAAATAATGTTAGAGCTCAATAAAACTTTAGGATAAAGTATCATACACCAAATCTAACTACACTATTGTATCAAAAAATTACTAATACTGTAATCCCCAGAAAATTATGGCAAAAAAAATTCCTGTTTTTTTCAGTAAATTTTTTCAGAATGGTGCTATTCTTAATTATTTGTTATGTAAAAAAAAAATATTAATATTGAATTCCTCACAACATTTTCTTTTTTTTAAATGTGTATAAAAACAATTAAACTTGACGGATAAATCCCAAATTTTTCTATAAAAACTTTTTTTAAAACATCATGAAATTATATTACAAAAGTAAAAAAAAATTATTTGAAGTTCTTTATGATTTACTTGCTTAATTAACTCTTAATTACTAATTAGTAATATCTCAAAAACTAAATTTGAAGGAAAAATCTAAAGCCAGATTCAGTATTAGTTTTGAAATTCTTATAGAATTCACCTACATATTGTGAACAAGAGAAATTTTTTTATTATTTGTTGTCCTGTGATATTAGTAATAATTGTATACAATAGAAATGGAAAAAAATTCATAAAATATCATTACTTTAGTTCTTACCATTTGAGAAAATGAGGCTGATAGTCAAAACGAAACATACTATCTTCATCTTCAACATAATTCTCATTCAATAAAGTATACAGTTCTTTTAAAACAAATGGATCATCTAGAGTTAGGGTGTCCCATTGAAAACCGTCAGGTAATGTATAAGGTTCCTTTCTGATTTCATCCAAAGTTTTATCAGCTTCAATTGGACCATCATTAACAACAACCTCACCTTGTTAAAATTTGAAATTTAGTCAATTATAAAAAAAGTAGACAATTTATACTTAAACAGTTAAAATGTTTTTTATGGAACATCTCATAATATTTAATTAGTAATTTATTATAATTTTCTAGGACAACTACACAGGATAACAGTTATTTTCTTGTTTACAATTTTTATATGATTCCATTATGGAATTTTGATGTTAGTTTCCGAATCTGGTTTTAGATTTTTTTAATTACGTTTAGTATTTGTGAAACTTACTTATTAGTAATTAAACAATAATAACATAGTAAATTCATCCAAAAAAATATAATTTTTTTTTTTAACATTCCTAAAATGATTTTATGATGTATTTAATAAAAATTATGCAAAATTTGGAACTGTTCCATCAGGTATAACTTTTTTTTGGTTTAATTTATAATTAAGACATTTTGACCAACCAGTAGATAATTTAGTAACAAATTAAAAAATATTGACTTTAAGCATTTTCAGTAAATATAAAGTCAAAAAAAAGCTGTTAATACAAAAAATATAGAAAAATTATGAAAATTTACAATACTGGTTTTTTATATACTTTTCCAGTATTATTTTATTTAGAAGTAATTGAATTAACGATATAATATAATTTTATATATTATTTAACAATACATATGACTATATATTTAAAGTTTATGTGTGATAATTGTATAATTATTTATAAATTATAAAGAAATGCAGAGGTACTATCAGGGACAGTGGAATACTATAATAGTGGCATATTGTTGTTCTATGTTACAATGTGATCAGATACAAAATATTTTTAAAAGAAAATCAAATGAACAGTTTTTATATGAAAAGAAAATGGTATTATATTATATTATAATTAAAGCTTTATTAATAATTAATAATTATCTAAAAAACCAGATGTGATAGAGAAAATCTAAAACCTAATTCAGAATCAGCATTGAAATTCCTTGTAGAAATCATATAATAATTGTAAAAAGTGAAACATTTTTGTTATTTTTTATTTATATTACTCATTACTTTAATATAAAGAAATTACTTAATTTAATTACTTTTATTTTCATATAATTAATAAGTAATTAAATTACATTTATGAAGTATTTTGAAGTTACTAACACATTACCAAAAAATATTGATATTATCAGTAGAAAAATTAATTTTTATTAATGCATGTATATCCATTATAGTCCCTAAATTGTTTAATTCATTACTTTAATCATATTTGACATTTTTATATCTAAACGGGAAGAAAAGTACAAATTATGTTTAATTATTATAATAGAAACACTCACTTTTCACCTTCATAATTACTTAAATTGCTAAAAATTTCTGAAATAGTGGTCCAAAAGTTGTTATAGACTAATAATTTTCTTAATCAAACTATTATCAATTAAATAGGCTAGTTAATTATGTGTTTTACCATTTGAAAAATTTTAGTTCAAACCCCTATAAGGTATAAGGGATGAACATAAATAATATTTAATGATTAACAAATTTGAGTAAATATTAAATTAATAGAAACTAATAAAACAGTGATAATATTTCTAATATTTTGGTTTTATTAAATAGTTCATGATAAAATAAACTAAACTAATTTGATAAGTAATTAATTACTTTTATTATTAAGTAAAGTAAGTTTATTACATTTAGAAATCAGTAACAAACTAGTAATTACATTACTTTTTAGAAATGTAACGAGTAATTGTAATTTTATTAATTTTTCAAAGTAATTTTCCCAAGACTGTTTGTAATCATATGTAATTTTAAACATACTCATTTTAGGTACTGGTTGTGTGTACCAAAACCGATACTGTTTATGTAAAGCTTCTTCAGGAGTTTTGGCAGCTCTTTGCTGAAGTGAAAACACTTCCATGGCTTTCTGGATATCCTAGAATTAATGATGCAAATTCATATTATTAAATTTGTTTTTTATTCAGTATTTCATTTATAGTTATAAATTTAATTTTCAATTTAATAAAAGTTATTCTACTTAAGAAGTTTGATTTTGAATATCTTATAAATTTAACTTGATGATTCTCAAAGTTGTGAGGTTAGCTAGGAACTAAGAATGGTTTCCAAATATCCGGAAACCATTCAGTACCTGTGCACCAAGGCACAATGTATTTTCGATTTAGATAAGAAGGCAATCATAAAATAAGTACGAAAAAGTATAGGGGTTACTTATTCCAATCTAGACGATATTTAATAATTATTGTAATTTATGATTTAAATAGAACTAATAAATAAATAAAATAGTAATTTTTAAATATTATGAACAGAATAATACCATAATATTCGTTTCTGAATATCAAATAATATCACTTTAAAAAATTTCGGCTACTTTTTTTTTTATTAAATTTACTGATCTACTAATTGAAACCCTATTAATGATAAAGTGATTGTTTGCACTTATTGTTATAAGCTCAAAAAAATCATAGCTAATCCTATGATGTATATTGAAGTATATTAACAATAATTATAAATCATATAAAAGATAATATGCATTATCGAGGGTATAATTTATAAACTAAAGAATTTTTTTTTTATATGATCACTAAAAATTGTGAAAAAAATATTTATACTTATTCTTTTATTTTTATAACTACCAAGGGGACCATTTATAATCATTAAATTTTTATTCCCCCTCATGTAAAGAATAGTTCCGATGCTCCTGGTAGTTTATTTTCAAAAAATGTAATGAATCCTACAAGAATTAAGTTTACTCATTTTTTTAAATATGGAATAAATGAAGTATTTTGTATTCATACATTTTATTTTGATAAATTCAAGTACATTTTTAAATTTTTAACCTGAATTGAAATAGTAGACGGTAATGCTGCCTCTTCAACAGTTCCATTTTGAGTGCTTTGTTCGGCTTTAATATTAGTCTTACGGTTCTTATTACGTTTTCTAGTTAAAAAAAAAAAAAAAAAAATTTAAGTATTCGTCTGATCATACTTAGTAATAACTTACTTTTTGGTCTTTTCAATTTCTACATTAGATTGATCACCTTGATTTTTTGATGCCTCACTCATAATTAATGGGTAATTCGGTTTAATCCAATAATATAAAAATACCAGTAAAATTTTTATGAACTAATAAGTTTTAATTAAGATATATAATGAATAAAATCCAAGTTTGAATCTAAATAAATTTTGTAATCAATAAATCAGTTGCAAGTAATATAAATTAAAGTTAAATTTGAAAACCGTTTCTATCAATATTATCTAAAATTAAAAAATGAAATGCTTATAATTTGTCACAGCGCATACTTTTAAATCGAATTCTAATGAACGACGAAAAATATATTTTAATAAACGACAAACACACCGAATCGGCATTCAGATTTCGGCAGTTCTACAAAAAAATTTAGTCACGAGGTTGCATAACCTGATTTATTTTCATTATATATCAGCTGTCCAGTTTTGACAATCATTGAAAATCAAAGGGTCAAATGAATCGGTTAAAATATTAAAAAATAATATTAGTGTTACACAGTGTAAAATTGATCACATTTTAAAAATATAAATACTATTGAAATAGTAACAAGTTTTATAAGTAATTATTTTGGATGGTGTATTTTCTGAACATGTATTCCATTAAGATATCACTAAATTAAGTTATAAGTACAATTATAACTTAATTCGATCATCTATTCAAAAATATACTTAACCAATTAATACATATTGAAAATATTCCATATAATATTGTCATCTTCATTTAATTAAAATTACGTTTTATGCTACTTAACCATGGTACAGTTGAGGGGTCATAATCCTTCCTCAATACAAACAAAAATTCTTAAATTTTAGTAGTTTTTTTATTTTAAAAAACAGTTAAACAAATTTTAATGTCCACAAAAATATTCTAATACTGTCACTGCATAAACAACCATGTTGGTAAATAATAAACTTAGAACATAAACGCAACTAGGAGGGTGCTAGAACTTTAGCAACCCTAAAAAAATTAGAACGCATTTATTGATTTAGTCATACAAATATTGATTGATATAATTGATATTGTAATTTTTTTTATTGTCAAAAATATAATTTTAGAATAATTCTGAATAAAATGTATTTTGTATGTGGTGTTATATTTTACAATTATGGGCATCTAAATTTATTTATCAAGGAAGATTTATCCACTTTGGTCATAGATTAATCTATTTAATCTATGCATATACAGATAACGATAACGATAATGGTTGCATTGTGTGATAATGATTGCACTGCATTGTATAATTATAACTCTTGTTTTCATTGAACATACTTATGTATGCGATACTAACGTAGGGGTGCCTACTAGTCTGTGAATCATACCTCTTATTAGCTTACCCAAAAACGTTGATCTAGTTGCGCCTATGATTTAGACATATAATCTGTATCAGGGTTATTAAAAAATATATTTTAAACATAAGTAAACGGTTAAAAACATTTAAAATGTCCCTTAAACCAATGTAAATCACCAGGGGTTTTGAAGCACTACCTCTATATTACGATAATCTCCATACATACGATTCCACAAGTCTCTTTACTCTACTTTATAGGATTGATAGTTAGGAAGTATTGGTTTTGTTAGTTTTATGTGCACCTCGTACTTCGTTCACCTTTTTTTAAGATTTTCTATAAAAAATATATGGCCTAATAGCAATATGCAAAACCTGATTATTTTTTTACTACCATGAAATTTACATTGGATAAATTTTATACATTTCTTTTTAAATTTGAAAAGTATCTTGAAATACTTCAACCAAACTGGTATATCTCGATTTTGTTTTAAAAAAATTTAGTCCTAATTTATAAATCTATTGTTAACTATATCAATTTTAAATAAAAGTAAAATAATAATTCAAACATCACTTAGAACATACAGATATATTCATTTATCATAAACAGCTTAATTACTCAAATGTAATATTTTAATGATGCGATTTTGAAGGATCCCAAGTTTATGCACCTTTATGGAGGATTTACTATACATTTTATAGTAGCTTAGACATATTTTTCGTTTAGAAAGAATGAAGTTTAATTCTCCATAACTATATTATCGGTAAAAATACATTACTAAGTTTTCAAGTCAATTAATAAAAAATTGTAATGCTTAGTGATGTGTTCGAAATAACTTAACAAAATTATGAAAACATATAATTCCGTGCTCAACATAAGGATAACAATTTCATTTTTTTAAATGATAACAGACATATTCAACTAGCTTATATAATAAAAAACGGTAGCACAGTAGGGTCGAGATATAGTTGGGAAAAGTATAGATGATATCTGACAGTGATTAAAATCACTATTATTAGAAACGCTTTGATGTAAATCTGTAGATAGTGTTTAATTTTAAGCAATTGATGAATTATTCTAAAAGCAAAATGAATTTCTAGTTCCTTATTTATATCGTGATCACGAGTTTTATAATTTATAAGTGTAATATATAAATAAATAATACGAATTGTAGTCATTTGACGTATCGTTGAAAAAAGTAGGTCAAGTTAGAGCAGAGAAAAAAAAATGATAGCCACAAAAAATAAGTTATCGGTTTTGCAATGAAGCTTAAACCTAAAATATAGTAGAATAATTTTAATATGAATAAAGAAATTTCTTCTCACGAGGGGCGATTGTATAAACGGCTATGATCCGATTTAAAAAAAAATATGTCGAATGAAAGAGGTATATATAAAATATTTATCATTAAAGAATAGAATTGATTTATGCATTTTTTTTAAAAATTATGAATATGTATACTTGGGTAGGAGAAGTAGCATGGTAGAAAAATGCGTAATAATAAAAATAACATATTCCAAAACTCACCTTCTGTCAACTACAGTTTATATATACTTAAATAGTATATATAAGATATGCTTCAGTCTACATTCAAAAATGATATTGACTCCGCATATGGCTCATAAATTGTTATGGACCAATCATTTTTCAGTTGAATTACTTTTTTTATTGTATGAACTAGTTAAATATGTATGTTACCATTAAAATAATGAAGTTGGTACCTTTATAAAAGATAAGGGATGGATAAAAATAAAATTTAACCATTTATAAATTAATAAATAAATAATTCTAAACAAAATCAACAACTTTTTTTTAACCACTGTTAATGATATACTAATTAACCTGTATAAAATAAAAACAGAAAATTTTAATTGTAATATTATCTAAAAATAGGTATTGCATTTTAATATGACATCAAAGAAGAATTATAGAAACTAAAAAAATGAATAATACATTATATTACATACTTTTTTTAAGTATGCTAAAATCAATCAACACTGAATAAAAAAATTATCAAAGTTACCTGAAACAAACCTTATAAGTAGAGTCTGGAATTATCAAGTATGGGCAAGTTAATCGACATAATTAACTCAAGTTAAGCTTAGTATGAACAATGTCTATAAATTAACAGTTAAAAGTTACCAAATTATAAATTTAACTAGATAGTTGGTTGAAATTTTTTTTCACTTTCACTTTCATTTAAAATTTATTATTTGGCTAAGCTCTCTTAAAATCATTTTTATTGGTCGGTGTAGCAGGGGAAAGCTAAAATCAATTTTCAACTGAATAGGAAGAAAATATAAAATTTTTTTTTTTTTAATTTTGTACATTTTGGTGTTCGTTATTCGGTTTATCTTTAAAACTAGTTATTAAAAAAATCAGTTAAAAATCACATACATTTTAGAAAAAGTTCAGAAAACTAGATTTTTTGTTATGTAAATATATTATTTGGTATAGGAAAAATTCAATTTTATTTTTAAATTAAACCAAATACACACCATATAAGAGAGTATTTTTTATGAAATTTTGAATTTAGCTTACCTGTTATTTTAACTAATTAACTGAAAATAGCTAAGTTATTTCAATAGAAATTAAATTAGTTAAGTTAATAAGTTTATAAGAAGAAAATTAACTAGTTAAATTGAAAAATTAACTTTTTAATTAGTTAATGCTCACAATTAGGAGTTATTCACATTTTTAATTTAATTTAAGCCACTTTAAAGGGTTTCAACTTTGTCATGGAATAATGTAGTAGCGTAAAAATATTTTTTGTTCGAGGGATAACCTCCCTAAACTAATTATCTCAGTAACAACACATAACTAAGTTTACAAATCAATTCAAAATACCTTAAATAAATTTATAAAAACATATAATTTCAAATTCTACTTATTAGGCTAAGGTACACTTTAAGGAAAAAAAAATTAGTGTAATATTATTCTACGGAAGAGCAGTAAACCTGACTTAAGGCCAAAAATAAATCCTTTCACAAAATTTTCGCCCAGTAACCTATAATAGTTGTTAAGCTTAACATATTTATTCAGAACTTCTTGAATAAAAGAGCTCAATAAAAAAGTTCAATGTTCTAGTGTTAATGATGTCTATTTTCATTGAATAAATTTATTTAATAATTAACAATAAATATTTTATTTATTAAAATAATAGTCAGCTATTAACAATAGTTTATTTTTTTCGGCATTGTGTAGTTTTTTCTTTTCTTTTTTTAATATGCTTCTTTATTTTTACTTTTCTTTTTTCAGCTTTTTGTTCTTTAATTTGCTTTTTCCGTAGCTAAAATTGTATATGTTATGAAAAATATTGAATTTCAAAACTCAAGAATAAAATTTATTACCTTTTTACTCTCTAAATCTTCATCTTTTGGTCTTGCAGAGTTGACAAAGTTGCTTGTTTCTTCAGAACTTTCATTGTCAAAATCTGATATATTAGAAGAAGCGCTTGAAATAACATTGTCTAATATTGCTGGAATATTTTGAGGACCTGATAAGTCGTCTTTAAGTCCAACAATTTTTTGATAAATTAATTCTTCAGTGGTTTGTCCAGACTTAATTAAGTTTATATCTCTCTCAAAATCAACAACCTAAAAATAACATGAAATTAATTTTAACATTTCATATAATATAAATTATTTTGTGGAAAAATAAGAATGAATTCTGATTAATTTACAAGAAACCCTAATTAAGAAACATTCTTATAAAGAATATTATTAAGTCATAAAATTGTTTTATTTATTAAAAAAACAATGATATCATGGTAACTAATAATAATTCTTTTGTAAATATAATTAAAATATAATCATAAAGAGGTTATAAATAAAAATTTTAATAACAAAATCTCATTTTCAAAAAATTCCATGTACATACTATTCCTTTTGATCAACAAAATATTAAAACTACATCTAATCATATTAATAACATTCTAGTAATAATAAATAATATTATGTAAACTACATCAATAATTTTATAAAATTAAAACTTAAGTTTTTCCCTGCATTCATTAATATATTAGCAGCAGAATTAATACAATTGGTTTTGGTAAAAAATGTTAAATAGAATAATTTAAAGTTATGTGAACAGTTAAGTTTATTGACTAAAATTTCAGAACAATTAGCTTAATGTTCTAACAATAATTTTACAAAATTAAGTATGTTATATCATTTAGCAACATTATTTTAAAAAAATTAAAAACTGGCTCATATTAGGAATGTAAATGAGGGATGATAGAACTTTCCAAGATAATAATATATTTTGGAGGGAGGTGATAAACAAATTCTTAATATTTATTACCCAGGACAAAACCATAAGAACTTTACTGCAATTAACCCCACGAGCAATTAAATTAATACAACTTGAAGTAAAATATAAAGTGAAAAAACATTGTGTATAGTGTTTAACAGCGTAAATCAGATTTATTTGACAACGGATAACATCTTGATCCAATTATCATTTTGTTGTATTTTTTAAAATAACGTTAGTATTTTTAGATGTTAAAGGAATATATTTTCCAAAAGTCTCTTACAAGAAAAAAATAATAATTTTTAACTTTTTCGAAATTTCAAAATAGACATTTTATATACCTTTTCTTACAAAAGCTTGATGGATTGATAATAACTTAAATACTTATTAAGATACAAGTATTTAATTATATAGAATAGCAAAGTAAATATAAATACCAGATTGTGTTGCACTCACTCTTGTTATATATCCAATCTATTTATTAAAATGCTTATAACTTAATAAGTATTTATCCTATAGTTGTCATCATTTTATCAAAATATTTGCAAAAAAATATATTTTGAAATTAAAAAAAAAAAATTTTTTTTTATTAGACAAATAATAAATAATATGTTATTAACATAATCTACAAATGAAAATAATTGTTTAAAAAAATGTTACAGTAAATTTATTGGATTAAAAGTTATAATAATTGCCAGTTAAATCAGATCACACTAAACAGTAGATAAATTTAAATTTAAATACAGTAAAAATACAAAACCTTTGGCTAAATAACTTAGTTTTTAAGGTGCATATACAATAAATAAATTATAGACATAAAGTACTAATTACTTCGTTGAGATTTTTAGGGATGTAAGCATTTTTAAATACTTCTTCTTCTACTTGTTCTTCATTTGTTAAATTATTAGAATTTGTCATTTGAGCCTGAATTAAATCAAGACAAGCTTCCATATTGTCTGGTGTTATAGTTGGATCAGTGAGAAAATCAAAAAGTGATTTAATAGTAAGTGTGGCGACATCATGATGACGAAAAAATTCTAAAGTATTAGAATAAAAATTTGAAATTATATATCGACAAATACTTAAAATGTGTATCCTTTATGACACTTAAATTCTGAAAGTATAGTTTAGTAATAATTAATTTTAATATACTCTTAAAAAAATTAAATAAAAGATTAAGTATCAAAAAGTTTTTTTCTCTATTATTTATTTTGTGATTAGAGTCTTATCATGCACCTCATATTTTAACTATCTAATACAGTATTTGTAAAGCTAATTAGAGAATAATAAGTAAAAATATATTAGTATTGTTTATTTCAGAAAAAAATATAAATATTGAGTACTTAAAAATTTTTTTTCAAACAGTTAAAATTTTAATAACCTGTTATGTTTGTACAGTCTTTACGTAAAAATTCTAAGGCATATGGATGTTCATGTTCAACAGCTTGTGATACATCTATCATTACAACTTCTCCATTATCATACCTAAAAGTTATGCACCATTACTAAACACTGTATTTTATTTAACATGAAATATAAAGACACATATTATTCTTCTCTCACAAAACATTTTAAGTACATTTATATAGAATGTTATTTTTTATATTTATTTTATATTATTTTATTTAATAGGTTGGAAAAATAGTGTAAAAATATAAATATTATAAGTAAAATTTTTTTTTAATTTATTCTTACAGAAGATTGAATTCACTGAGATCAGCATGCACTAATTTACAAATATTATACAACTTCCACATAATTATCAGACAATCTCTATAAAGTTGACATGCTTTAGATGTTGTCAGTCGAGCATCCTGTATCAAAATTTATTAATTTTATTATACATATTATTATGTTTATTAATTTAAACAATTATAAAATATCACTTTTAATTTTGGTGCTGGCCAACCACCTTTACCAATAAAGGACATCATTAATACATGAGATCTTAATAATATTGGCTGTGGTACTGGTAGACCAGCCGAGTGCATTCTGACTAAATTTCGCATTTCTTTTTCAGCCCATAAACGTACCATTTTTCTCGGATTGTGTCTACAATAACCATGGCGAAATCTAAAAAGATTGTACAATTAGTTAATGTTATTTTCTTTAAATTATTTAACTAAATTACAAAACTAAAAGTATTTCATAACTTAAGTATATCTGATATTTTGGTATTAAAATTTGATTTCCTTTTGAAATAACAAAAAAAATTAAAAACAATACTTTCATAATACTCTATTTATATTTTTTTCCATAGTAACTATAGAGTTATCAGGTTAATTATCTTTCAATCTATAATTAACTATTTATGCAACAATTTTTAAATTATTTAACTTCTAAACCATCAATGAGAAAATTTTCTGGAATTTGAGGAGCACACAGGAATAAGATGTTAAGTCACTAGATTTTGAAAAGTAAGTTAAATACATAGAAAATTCAGGAAACTCTAAAACATATATTATGCTTGATAAATATAATAACAATATTGAAATATTTTGATTGTGGAGTAAATTGTAAATATTACAATGTGTTTTTTATTTTAAGGCATGAAATTGACCTAACATTAATAGGAAAAATATGTATTGCGTGTAAAATTATTTAAGTTGAATTAAAAAATTAAGTTATTTACTGTATTTTTAATGGATAAAATCATATTATGCACAAAATTAAAACAACCTGAATTCCCCAGTTACATAACGATCTCGATCTTTGAATACTAATATTGACGTTTTGAATACTTTTATGGCATAATGTTTTCCACCATCAGTTGATGTGGCATGATAAACATTGGCTTCTTTGCCAGTAGATATACAGCCATCAATTTGTCCAATCATACTTCGATTAAGTAATTTAAACAATATCATACGAGTTCTAGGATCCATAACCTGTTCAGCAGTTGCTCGATCACACTTATCTTTATTTCTATATCTGTTATTCAAAAATTATAATTAATGAATTTAAAAAATTGATCTTTGTATTTTAATCAATTTATGTGGTATGTATATAATTGATATTTTCATTCATAATAATAATTACAAATATTATGCATAAATTTACTAATTTCTTTCAAATACATGTTATTTTGTGTACATAACCAATTATTTTATTATAAAAATATTTAACCTAACCAATCAATTTATGTAATATGTATAGAGAGAAAGTTTTAAAAAAAATACCTATTTAAATAGTAAAGCTTTAAAAGCAAAAATATCAATTTCAATCATGTACAAATAGTTCTAAAATTGTATGACTATAACTAAATATAACTTATTAGGGAATAATACCTTTAAAACTCTATAGAAGGAAAAGTAATTTTCATACCTGCTAGCATCTGACTTTTTATAACTTTCCATAAGTTTATTTGAGGCTTCTTGTGTTAACATTGGACCTTCATAAGGATCAGTGTTTACTTTGCCTAAATATTTTTTAAATAAATTCTCAGATGGTTGATAATCACTGACTTTTAAATTTTTATTTTGTTTATTAGGAGTAGCTGTTATAGTCTGAGATTTAATTTCATTAGTTCCTTTTTTACTGTAACATCCTATAATGATTATGAATTTAAATAAATTTAGTGTCTAAAAAAATAGATTTTTTAATACATCTTACCATAATCTAACAAAATTTCTTCAGAATTACTATCACTATCAGAAAAATCATAGTCATATGTATTAAGATCACTAATTAATTTCCGGCCATGATTATTAAAACTCATCTCTCCAAACAATTTAGAAACATCATCATTTTCTCTTAAAAGGATTAGAAAAAATTATGTTAATTAAATATAATTACCATAAGAAAAGGGCAGATAATAAATTATAGTATACTTACGATAATTTGTCAATGTCAATTTTACTAACAAAAGACATTTTTTAAAATTTATTCCAATAACCTGTAAAATATAATTAGAATAGTATTTAATAAGAAACACAAAAACAAGACAAAAAGTTTATTGTGAATATTTTGTACGTGAATCATTCGATCACAAAATAAAATTATTTTTTCAGAGATTTACTTGTGATGACAGAAGTTTTCTAAAATTCAATTGATTCAGAAAGTTTTTCAATAATTTACATTTTAAGTTTGGTGTAAAAAAAATTTAGTTCGTTTAAGTCAAACACGAGGTTCAGTTATCATTTTATCAAGTTTTTATATTTGTTATCAATAAATTTTAGATTAATCTATACGTTATGGGTTTGGTTGGGTTTACCACAGAATAGATAAATCCAGAAGTGACACTCTTAGTTTTTGCTGATAACAAGCTTATGTCGCTCAGTGTAGCCACTTAAGAAAAAAAATGTATTCCCTTTTTTCTTTACATACGGTCACATTGTTCAACACCATTATTAATGGTTTGTTTGTAAACACAATGTTTATAAACATGGTTTATTGGTAAATATGAAAAATATATGGTAAATATTGGTATTAATGAATTAGAAAATATTTTTATTAATAACTTTTCCACACTTGCTATTGTAGATGGAGTTGGAGCCGAATTAAAAAATTATTTTTGTAATGTACCTTTTAACCACCCTTGTAAATGTTTTGATAAATTGTATTTAATTAATTTGTTTACAAGATTTAGAATATTTACAGCTATAAAATTTTTAAATAAAAATTTAATGTCTAAGAAAAAAATTAAAAATAGGAAATTGTCTATTTTAACTCATCTATAAATTATTTATTTATGTATATGATATTTGTAAATTATTGTAATATATGTTTTAAATAAATTTAATATTATGTGGATATTGAATAATTTTTTTTTCCTAAATAAGTCTTTATTAAATATACATAAAATAAAAAATATATTAAACAAACTAATTACACATAATGAAAACATTAATTGAAAGTTTTAAAATGGTGTTATATGTTTAGAAATAATAATAAAATAAATCCAAAAAATTTACTATGCAAATTTTCTAAAATAATTAGCATGTAAATAATACATTTAGAGTTCAAATCAACCGCCGATGTACAATTATTGTACAGTACAATGAATTATATGCATACAATTATTTATTTTATTGTTTTTATGGTAACACTGAGCGACATAAGCTCAAAATTACCGTACTCCCATAAGAATACATGTAATTTTTTTATCAGTGTCCATTCTGGTTTAATCTATTCTGTGGTTTTACCTTAGATTATATGAAAATTTATTATATACTAACTAAAGGAAAATATATTCTATGATTTAACCAAACCTAATATCCAACTTACCGAAATTATTATTATTGAACCATATTTTAGTGGAAATTTGAAATAATTAATACAATTAAGATAAAAAAAATTTCGGTTGAAATAGACCAAAAAACTTTTATATCAATATATTATTTTTATTCATGTTAGTAAAATATATGGGATGTTTTAATATTACAATTTTAGAACCGCTGGTTTGATCATTGCCCCTACTGTCCCCCTAACATCATCATTACGCAGTTAAATCACATTAAAACGTTTACAAAACTATTAATACAAATTTGTAGTGGGTTTGGAATAACTTAACAAAATGTATAAATGAATATAAATCGTCTCTTTAGTGATGAGTAAAATTGGTTTTGGATAGTGGTGGCCAGATGGAATTATCAAAAATTGAAAAGAACAAAATTTGTTATAATGATTTTATCCTTTCTCAGTACTTTGGTTAATGATAGGATTTTCAAGAAACATTCTGAAAAGCACTTTATATAACTGACATTTTTTTTAGATTAATGTATCATTCAAATGAATACGTTTTGTTAATTTTTGACATATAGTTGAGCAAAATTGGTTCAATAGGAGCGGGTAATTGCGTACACAGACACACAAAAAAAAAATTAATAATTGCAGAGTATAAATAATAGCCTCTTAAATACACATCGAAGCTAATAGTTATAAAAATTAGAAATTTCTTTATAAAATATCAGTAGCTACTGTTTTTGACTTTTACTTCCTAAGAACAATATCATAAGAAGATGCTACTAAAATAAATAACATTTTATTATCACTAATTTCTATGTAAATAAATTCGAAAATGTTTATATCAACAATCAACGACGTCTGTTCTCCATGTTTACGAGCGTTCGGGTCACTACTTAACTTTGTTACCCTCCCTACCGCCATCACAGTATATGCTCGCCACTGAACGCCGTGCTGTTCAACATCAAACGTTTGCGGTCTTGTTAATTATGAAACACGTTTGTTTACCTTGGCTGGTGCCGATTTCAATGATATCAAAAGTTATATTATTATTCTTATAAATTGATTTTATTCTAATTCTAGTCCGATTTATTTTTAGTAAATTTTTCAAAGCAGATTTATTGGTCGATATTTTTTCTTTGTAACAAACATAAAAAATACAACCGAATTCATAACCTCATTTATTTTTTGAAGTAGGTTAAAAACAAAACAAAAAAAAAAATTATGTCATATGAGTACTGAAGTATTCAAACCGGATTCCGCCCGAGTAGAATTATAGTGATTCACGGTCCAATACATTGACAACTGAATAATTTATTGTGATTTCAAACAAAATACCTATGATAAATTTTTTTTCTAAATATTCAAAATAATCGTAACATTCTTTAATTTAATATATTATTATTATAATATTAACTAATAATGTTAATGAACAATATTTACAATAAAGAAAAGCTTTATTGGATTTGAAGGTTTGATGAAACAATAATTAGGTGGTCTTAAAAATAAATGTATATTCAGATAATTTCTTTAGAAACTTAGGATTATGATCGTTTTTGTGTTACTTAATGAATTAAAATAATTAAAAATTTCAAATTATATTTTTAATAAGAAAGAATGGAGTTTAAAAATTTAAAAGTTGTTATCGACCAGTCATTTAATTAATTAGGTCATTTTTCACTTTATAAGCTAATTTCATATATTAGTTGCCATTAAAAAAAAAATAAAGATAGTACTTACAAGCGGGCTTTTTATATTTTGGCCTGTAACAACAACGTGGTTTGCCACTTGCATAACGACTAGCTAGAGTAGCAAGGGTCNACTCTTGTAGGGATAAGAGGTGGATCTAAAAAGTATTTAACAATTTATAAATTGAGAGATAAATAGTACTCAACAAAGCCAAAATTGTTTTAAAATGTCTGTTGCTGTGTAACTAGGTATTTTATATATATATACAATTAACATACATTATTTTACAGTTTGCCGTTATTTTTTAAATATAAATTTCTCATGTGCTAACCGTGTTTGTGAATTGAACTAGTGCAAGGCCGATCGCAAGGGGGGAGGTTGGGGGTTCAACCCCCCCCCCATTTGACGAAAAAATATATATCATGTTTTTCATTTTTAATTGATTATATTAGATATTTGATTATCTTATTTGTTATAAAAATTGCAGAGGACTGTTAGCATTGCATATTGTTTTTGGTTTATACGTTTTAATTAATTATTTATTTTATTAATAAACCGTTAAAAAATGTATTTATAAGAGCTTATTTCAGGATTTTTAAGTGCATAAGTGCACGCATAATCAGTTTTTTTAGGGGACAGAAGTCTTGTGCTCTAGTAATAAAATAATAATGCATATCATAATAGCACACCACTATTATTGTGTTACCCTCGTGTTTGGTGTTTATCGGTTTCCGTTGAGACGTTATCGACAAAATATAATGACCGCGACGGCGACGTGAAGAACACGAGTACGACACGATAATGGAAGTCGCGTATTTTAAAAGATGTTCATAATCAAGTGTAAGACGTTAGTTATTAGAGATGGGATTTTTGACTCGCTGATATGAATCAGTTCATTTGAATCAGTTCACTCAAATGAGTTGACTCAGTGAGTCAACTCCAAATCGTCGAACCTTTAAAGGCGCGATTCTGACTCGTGAGTTGTAGAAGTTTGTGGAACGCGAATTACAACTCGCAAGGCATACTCATAGAGTGCCTTCTAAATGCGCCTTTATAGTTATCTTAGCTAGATTAATATCAAATATGAAATATCAATGAATCATTGTTTTACACAAATGTGAATAATAATTTATTTTACTCATTGTAAATAATTATTATTTATTAACTACTATTGTAAAATGAAATGTAATATTGCTATCAATAATTTTTTATTCATTATTTGTTTATATATATTGGAATTAAATTAAAGCGCGAAAGAAATGAGAATCAAATTCAAATTGTATGTACATTATGGAAAAAGTAGTTGGTTATTACTAATTAATAATTTTATGAGATAATGGGCCTCAAACCCTGATTTTTACCTATAAGATGGTTGAGCTAATTTTTAGTTAAAACTTTTTATCATTCAATAGTTTGATCCCTTTTTTCTTCTGTTAAAATTTTAGATTCTCAATACATACCCACAATAGTTACACAAAAAGTAATTTATTTGGTTATTTGATGTTTATAAAATATTTTTCTATTGAATTGTTTAATATTTTTACTAATTATATTTAAATTTGTTAATTATTATTAAAATAAAGAGTAAATTTAAAATCTAAAAAAACGATTTTTTTATTATTAACATCAACAAATAGATTTATTTATGTGTTAAATTAGGTATATAAATACAATGTAGGTATTATCAATGTTTAATGTTTAGTGCATGCAGTGAGAAAAATAGGTCTCTTCTCTCGTATATTTCAAAATTTTCTTGTATGCAATTACAGGCAGTGGCGGCGCTAGTATTTGCGGGGCCCCCCAAATTTTTTTAAAGGATTTTTTTTTTTTTTTTGGTCAACCGAGCAAAATATTCAGGTGGGCTAATTTGGGGTCACGTGATTTGCGAGGCCACAATTACTGAGGGATATGAACATTAAAAAAAGAGGTGCAAAATTATGCATATTCAATGCTTTTTAAAGTAGATTTTTATCATTACTACTGTTTTAACGACTTCAGTTTTCATATAAAACATACAGCTAATCTATTAACCCATGTTTCAACATCGCTGTTTTTAATTATTAAAAAAAAATATAATAAACGGTAGCACAGTGGGGTCGCGGCATAGTAGAGACATTGCATAGTAGGGTCCAGTATAGATTTAATCTGACAGTGATTAAAATCACTATCATAAGAAACGCTTCGATGCAAATCTGTAGATAGTGTTTAATTTTAAAAAATTGATGGATAATTGCAAAAGCAACATCAACTTCTATTAAAATAAAATACAAAACCCATAATTATCATACAAAAATAGTATATTTTTCAATATGGTAGCCATTTGCGTATAGAAGATAGATCGTCGGGACAAATTTTTTTTTTTCATTTTGTAGTACATAAAATAAGCTTTAATTTTATATATGTTTAAAGGACGCAGTATTTCCGGAACATTTTCAAAAATTAAGTTGAAAAAGTTATTTTTTGTAAAAAAGTTACTATTTTAAATCCTCCCAGTGAGCAGAATAAGTGTTAGATTTTCAAAAAAAATTATATCAAATGAAAGGGAAATATCTAAGGTTTCAATACAAAAAAATATTATTTTTATTTGTTCATTTTTGAAAAAGTTATGGCAGTTTTAAGTACAAAAAACATCCCGATAAAATGTAATTTTTATCGCAAACATTACATTTTTTTTTAAATTTTCGACAGCCATTTGCACATAGAAGATAAGATGTCGGGACAAATTTTTTTTTTTCATTTGATAGTATATAACATAACCTTTGATTTGATATATGTTTAAAGGACGCAGTATTTCCGGAACATTTTCAAAAGTTCAGTTGAAAAAGATCTATGTTTTTTACAATATTTTAAGTTTTGAACGCCCCCTATATAAGGGGAAATTGTCCAATTTTAATAAAAAGTATGTCAAATGAAAGATGTACTTATAATGTATTTAGAAAAAAAAAATTTGTGCTGATATATACATTTTTCAAAAAGTTATAGCATTTTTAAGTTGAAAATTTAAAATCGAAAATCGAAAATTTTAACACAAAAATAGTGTTTTTTTAACTACGGCAGCCGTTTAAATGTAGAAAAAAAAGTGTCGGGACAAATTTTTTTTTTTCATTTTGTAGTACATAAAATAAGCTTTAATTTGATATATGTTTAAAGGACGCAGTCTTTCCGGAACATTTTCAAAAATTAAGTTGAAAAAATTAATTTTTGTAAAAAAGTTGCCATTTTAAATCCCCCCCAATGAGCAGGTTAAGTGATAGATTTTCAAAAAAATGATATCAAATGAAAGGTAAATATCTAAGGTTTTAGTATAAAAAAAAATTATGTTGATTTGTTGATTTTTCAAAAAGTTATGGAAGTTTTAAGAAAAAAAAGTGAAAAAATTTCGAAAATTAGCGATTTTTAAATTTGTAATTTTTTTGGATATTTCCCCCATTTGCGGGGAACGAGGGAATTTTTTTCAATTTTTAAGGGTAATGTCTTCAACTAGATACGATTTGTGATCTTTTGACGTATTTTTGAAAGAAATCGGTCCAGTGAGAGCTGAGAAAAAGTGGCAACAGACATAAAAAAAAAAAAAAAAAAAAAAAAAAAAAAAAAAAAAAAAAAAAAAACACATCATAGTAAAATTAATACCTTCTCCGCTTCGCATCGAAGCTAAAAATACCTGTTGAGATACATACATATATATATATGAAATATATATGTATAATACAATAAATTAAGATAGTTATTTATATTAAAGTTATGGTTAAAATGACTTTCCAAAATGAACTCTTCTGCTTTTTTGCTGACTGAAGTCTTCAATCAGTTCCTTGAAGTCTAGACTAGATGAAAGTTCATTTTCAATTGACAGGATTGCGAGGGCCGAGAGTCTGTCTTGAGCCATCGTGTTCCTTAAATAGGTTTTTATCAACTTTAATTTGGAAAAACTTCTTTCGGCTGCCGCAACTGTCACAGGGACTGTAGCAACAATTCTAAGTGCAATACTTATATTTGGATAAATTTCACTCAAATTGTTGTCTACAATATACTTCAATGCCCGTACTATCCCACTTTATTCATTTGTTTCTTTTTTTTTTTTGCTGAGCTTCTACTTCTACTAAAACACTTGAAAATAGTTTTAGCTCTTCAAACAAGTCTACTCCGTCTATGTCATGGTTATTTACTATTGATAGTGTAACTTGCAGATCTTTGCAGTTATTTAACAACTCTTTTTCAGACATAGTGGAGGAGAGGTTCATTATGTCATACAAAAAGCCAAAATTATTTTCATGGCATTTCAAAGCTTCAAACCTTGGTTCACAACTTGTCCGGATTTTATCCACAACCACATAAAAATAGCTAATTTTAAATCTATCTTTTGGTGATAACTCTGGTGTGTCATCTGTAGCTTCATAGCCAAAGTGTCTCCTTTTCCGTCTTTGTCTTGTAGACTTAAAAACAATTTCACTAAGGCCTATTTCTTCTGCTACTTCTTTACCTGTCACTAGTGCAGACTCAAAACCCTGATCCCTATACTCATCTAACCATTTCAAGAATACCTTTAAATGATTTATTGCTGCATCTAGATTCATACTTCGACTTTGCCATATTTTACTAATAACGTGAATTTTCACCAGGATATCGTACCAAACTACTAATGAAATAATGAACTCAAATGTCGAGATTTCATTTTCTAACGAATGACATTCACTTATAAGTAAACAGTCTGTGCTCTTTTCCCGTAGACTTGACAGAGCGTCACAAACCTTACTCAACTGGAACCTGACTGCTTTTACAGACTCCACTCTACACTCCCATCTAGTTTCTAAAAGAGGCTTAACTGAAATATCTACATGTTCTTTAAGTATACTCCATCTGTAACTAGATCATGAAAATATTGTGTACAATCTTTGCAAGGTTCCAAAAAATGTCTGTGCTTGAACACTAGATGACGCTGCATCGCTTAAAACCAAATTCCAACTATGACTACCACATGGTACAAAAAAAGCCAAAGGGTTCAAGTTTAAAATTTTTTGTTGGACACCATTTTGAATTCCTCGCATATTTGACCCATTGTAGTAACTCTGGCCTCTGCAGTTAGCTATATTCAAGCCTAGTTTGTCAAGTTCTTTTAACAAGTAGTTGGTTAATTCTTCGGCAGTAGTTTTTTTAACTGCAACAAACCTGATAAAATGCTCTTCAATTGAAGCAGTTTCCATATTGGTAGTTCTCAAAATCACAGAAAGTTGTTCAATTCTTGCAATATCTCGTGTACAGTCTAAAATGATAGAATAGTATTTGTTTTTAAAAACTTTTTCTGTTATCTTTTTCACTACATGATTTGCCATTAGAAGTATAAACTCATTTTGAGTTTCTTTGCTCAAATAATGATTTCTACCAATTTTTTTGTTGACAATTTGATTTAAATGTTCTCTCAATAAAGGGTCAAATTTAGCAATTAATTTTAGAAGATCTAGAAAATTACCACTTCTATCTGAACTGTCTGAAGTTATTGTTTCTCTATGACCTCTAAATGCTAAATTGTGAGAAGCCAAAAACTGTACAATTGCTAAAAGCCTCTCCATTACATCTTTCCACCGTTGAGCTTCAGATCTAATCTGAGCTTCAGTCTCTCGATCAATGGTTTCAAGCGTTTTTAAACGCTTTTCTAGTTCGAACCATTTTAACATACACTCTCTGTGCGTTTTGTTATTTTCATGACATTTTAAAATTACACTTAAGTGTTGCCAATCATTTGTACCTTTCCTAGAACTTAAGGCACAATTGGAAATGTCAGAAAATAAACGGCATGCAAAGCAGTGAGCAGAATCATTTGATTCAGAGTAAATGAACCATCGTCTTTTTTGTTGCTCACCGTTTAACAAATGTCTAATGTAGTAAATGTTACTAAAATGTCATTTTTTGGACATTTTTTGTCTGTTACATATGCAGGGCCTTTTTCAATAATTCTAGTTCGCTCTGATTGGGTTAAATTTTTTGGCCATATATAGGGATCACTTATGTCGTAGGTGTCCCTGGTTTCATCATTCTCCTCAGCCTCAAATTGATATTATTTCTCTTTTACTGGGTCTAAAGATGATGGTGTCGAACTTATTAATAACAGATCTCTCGAAAGCGGTGATCCCGGTACTGGTTGCTGGGCTGATCTCTGTTCTAGCTACAGTTCTAAAGTAGCAGACACTGACTGGGGGGTTAATGTAGATGGATCTGCAGGGGTAGAATGATTATGTGCTTCAGGGCTTTCTAAACTTGCACTGTGTAATCTTAATGGACCACAAGTAACAGTTTTATTTGGAATTTCAATATCACTACCGTTCTTAGAAGTTTCAGCTTTTAAAAACTTGGTTAATGTGTTACGAAGCTGCCCTTCAAGTACTTTCCTTTTTTCATTTCTTTTTCTTTTGGCACTTCCAGAATCATATTTTCTACCAATATCTCGATTGCGGGAAGCCATTGAAAAGTCTAACATGAAAAAACCAAATTATCTTATAATTCAAATAAAAAATTACCCTTTTTATTATCATTTATCAATAAACCATTTTTTTAATTTTTTTAAAATTTCATGAAATTAATTTTTGTTAAATATTTTATTTTAGTGATAATTGAAAAAAGTTAAATTTAATTTAAAATGGAAAATCGATTTAACATGAACCTAAAACTGAAATGAAAACATATTTATAATATATAAAACTTTATAAGTCAATAAAGAATGAACTATTTTTAATTTTATACAACATAGGGTGATCGTTGAAAAAAAAATATTTAACAATAAATAAACTATTTATTACTGTACAATGTACATGTTATATTAATTTATTTAGTATAAAAAAATTACATAATGTATAATTGCATATAAAACAAAATTGAGGAGCGTTTACCTCAAATTATCAAGTTATTTAAATGAGTTATTTAAAATTTAGCTTAAAATTGTGGTTTGGGTAGGAATTCACAATAATTGAAAAATAAAAAATATGTCAAAACTAATAAATTCTTTGCTTTGTTTAGATTCTAAAAAAATAATTTTCCTCTATTTCTTAAGGAATGAAATTTCTAATTTTGAGAATATCCTTTACTTAAAAAATTCAAATTTAAAACCATACTAAATAGGTAGTAATTTATTGAATATTAAATATACACAGTTTTAATTTAATATTTATTATGTTATTATAATAATTGTATTCTGTAATTCGGTAAATTTTTAATTAAATTTTAGTTAACTTCAGATAATTAAAATGTTGAATAATTTACCAAAAAATACTTCTTAGAATTTCTTTTAATGTGCACGCTTTGTCGTGGACAGTTACGCGCCAGCTCACCACAATCAAATAATTTTTATCATATACAATAGTTTATTTAAAAACGTTATCATGATTACCAAAATACACTGTGTAAACAACTGGCTGTTAACATTATCACCACAATTTACTACGCGCTATTGGCTCAATTATTTAATCACAATATAACGCATGTCCAAGATTCCTACTATTTTAAGGTATCTAATGCAATCAATAGAGTGAAATATCAATATTATATATTGAATTTAATCTAAATGTTTTGCAAAAAGTTTTTACACACAGTAAAAAAATGTGCTGGAGGTCATACTATTACTTTTCAGTCCGGATTCCGGGGCCCCGATTTAAAAAAAAAGTTGAGAGTTTTTGCTCAAATTTCCCAAAACGAACTTTTATTTAAAAGTCTTGCTATTGTCAAATTTTCTATAGTCAGTTCTTTTGGGGCCCTAAGCTGCTCGAAACAAACTAATGTAATTAAACCATCGCAGCTTTCTGGTCAATATAATTCATGCACTTCCCAGGAAACTACTTTGGGGCCCCAGAAGACGTGGGGCTCTATAAGGCGCGGGGCCCTGTGCGGCCGCACAGTTCGCACACCCCTGGCACCACCACTGATTACAGGTCTATTCTTGAATGAATATTGTTCTAAAAACTGACATATTATGTATAATCTAGTCTTATTTATTTAAAATTTTACTCATTGTGTTAATGCTGTTTCCTGTGATTACAATAAATCTTGTACACAAAATCGAAAATTGTGAAACACTTTATTTAATTTACAAAGGTATTTTATTTCATTTTAAAATGAATAAATCAAGTGTTATTTGGGATTTTTTTCAACTTGAACCAGTTAATATTCATGTAAAGTGTCGTATAAAATTAAAAAATAATTACTCTTCGACTTCAAATTTAACTAGACATATTAAATCTAAGCATCCATTAGTAAATTTATTAAATAGACTCATGTAATAGAAGAGACGATTGATGACCCAAATATTACTCCATCAACTTCTACTTCTGTAAGTTAAATCTATATATCACAATTCGCATGATTCAGAATTTATTGATAAGACGTTTTAAACTAAATTCAATTCTTAGTAGTCCACACTGAGTCATTGAGTCACAGTACCATGGCACACTGATTCAGCTCATTCAGTTCACCTAAAAGAGTCAACTCAAAGAGTTGACTCACTCACGAACTACCCATCCCTATTAGTTATACAAACGCGGTGTTTGCAATATCATCGAAATGGACATTCGAAGATTTTTAAAAAAACCACGACTAGAAAAAGATTAGATAGTAAACATATTAAAATTAATTATAATTATTACAATTACTCGATTAATCTATTTAGTTTTCAAATTTTATTTATAGGAAACTAGTTTCAATAACCTGTCACAATCAACTGAACCAGCAGAAAAAGCATCTACAGATACAAATGTCTCAGTTTCAATTCCAAAGTTTGTGTACCTTCATGATATAGGGTTATATGTGAATAAACCTGCAACTGAAAGTATTGACTTGATACTGGGACTTCAAAATTTGATATGGACATCTCCAGAAGACTACAAATATCCTGTTTCCGAAAATAGAAATTTAAAATTTCAAAGAAGTTGGTTGCTCAAATATAAATGGTTGGCTTATTCAGCATTTATGAATGGCGCATTTTGTAAGTCTTGTGTATTGTTTTCTGTACGAAGTGGAGGAATTGGACATCAAACGTTGGGGCAGCTTGTTAAAAAACCACTTACCAACTGGAAAAAAGCTTTAGAATCATTTAGTTATCATAACTCACTCGAGTCTCATAAAACTTCATTATTAAAATCAAATATGAGAACAGAAATTGATAATCAAAACATTTTATCAGTTGACTTACAAATTTCGGAACAACAATTAGATTTCATTAATGAAAGTAAAAAACGATAGCACAGTGGGGTCGAGGCACAGTGTGGACGAGGCATAGATGGGACAAGTATAGATGATATCTGACAGTGATTAAAATCACTATCATAAGAAACGCTTCGATGCAAATCTGTAGATAGTGTTTCCTTTAGAGAAATTGGTGAAATATTTTAAAAGCAACATGAACTCTTATTTCTTTAATTATATCCTGATTAGTAGTTCTTTGATTTTAAAATATAATATATGAATAAATACTAATTATAGTTTTTAAATTTAGTATGAAATTGTGAGGCCAGCTATGATGTATGGTTCATAGTGTTGGGCGGTTGATAAGAAAGTAGAGCAGAGAATAAGTGTAGCAGAGATGAGAATGCTTAGTTGGATGAGTGGAGTGACTAGAGAAGATAGGATAAGGAACGAGCATATAAGAGGAAGTATAGGTGTTGCGTCAATCGTGGATAAGATGACAGAAAATAGACTTAGATTGTTTAGTCATGGTATGAGGAAAGAAGAATCGAAAGCTGTAAGAACAGTTATAGAATATGAGTGGAGTGACTAAAAAAACCAAAAAAGACCAAAAAAGAGATGGAGGGATGCTATTGAATGCGATTTGAGAACAGCTGATGTGAGCGTAGAAGATGTGGGAGATCGTGTCAAGTGGAATCTTAGGATAAGGGTGCCCGACCCCAAGTAGTTGGGATTAAGGCAAAGAAAAAGAAAAATATTACCAGATATTCCGGTGGCAATTGACATAATATGATTGTTATTTCGGAATGTACAATTTAGCGTTTAGTTGGGTTTAAATAATATAGCGTCAAATCAATTACCTACTCTATCGGTTGTATCTCAATATACACTACACTTTAATGATACAATAAATAAATAAACTCACACATACACACATATGCATTTATAACATTGTGTCTAATGTAAGTATAACATGATAAAAAGTAACCGTAAAATGAAAAAAATGGAATATAAATTTTATTACTCATATTAAATGTAATGTAACTCGAAAAATATTTGTTTAAATGAAAAAATATAAGATTATATTTTTATTTATAATTGTCTTTTAAACAACTTTTGTGCGAAACTTTTTTTTGTAAGTTAAATATTTTTTTTTGAGAAAATTAAGAAAGCTCATATTTTTGAACTTTTGCGAGGATTTAAAAAAAAAGCTCAATTCCAATCTTGAGGACTATTAGTATGTCATTATACATATTTTAATTTAACTATTAATAAAACAAAATTTGGTTGGGAAGTTTTTAAGAAATTTTTCCTTTGTTGATTGGCCTAGATGTCAATTTTAAACTTGAATTGAGCTAAAAGTTATGGTAATATATTCAATTTTTTTTACTATAAACTTTTATAAATCTTTATCAAAAATTTTTCATCAACTTTAAAGAACCAAAAAAATAGGTTAAAATTGAAAATTTGGACNAGAAACAAAAAAATAGGTTAAAAATGAAAATTTGGATTGATTATTTTTAACATATTAAAAATCAAATCAGTAATAATTTGAAAACAAATTTTTTTTTCTTTTAATTATTATTTTATATATATAATTAGTAATAATATAAAAAATNTTTATATGTAATTAGTAATAATATAAGAAATTAGAACTGATAAATAAAGTCTAATTGCAGATTTGAAAACAACGCAAAAAGTTGATTTAGAAAAGTATATTTTTGCTTCTGATGAAAGTTCCTTGTAGTCCAGTGCATTTTTTTATAGTAACAAACAGTTTTTATTGAAAATTATTGTATCAAGCCCTTTAAATTTTTATACACGTAAAAGTAAAGCAAAATATAACTTCTTTATTATTTTTATAATTTCTCCGTTTAAATTACAATATTAAATATCAATTTCATACTAAATTTAATAATTATAATTAGTATATATTCAAATATTATATTTTAAAATCAAAGAACTACTAATCAGGATATAATTAAAGAAATAAGAGTTGATGTTGCTTTTGGAATAATCCACCAATTGCCTACTTAAAAAAAAAAAAGAAATTGGTTGGGAATTTTTTCTACTATTCGCCAAAATACTCCTTCGTTGACTAGAATGAATCATTAAATAGAAAATTTGATGAAAATTAAAACAATGTTATTTTTAAGATTAATATGCAGTCAGGAAATTTTATAATTACTATTTACAGTATACTTATCAGAAAAACTCATTTTTTTTTGCATTTTTATCGTAATAGAAATCATAGTAATCATTTCTAAGTAATTTTTGGTATTTAAAAAGATTCTACAATTGAAATATCCAGAACTGAATTAATTTTAATGATTTACTTTAACTAAAAAAAAAAAAGTTAATATTTTGAATCCCTCTTGTGGGCAGGTAAAGGGTTAGATTTATAAAAAAAACCAAATGATAGATAAAGACATGCATCTAAATAAAAAAAAATATACTGATTTGGTCATTTTTGATAAAGTTATAACAGTTAACAAAGTTATAAGTTTTATACACTGGACTACAAGGAACTTCCATCAGAAACAAAAATATACTATTCTAAATCAACTTTTCGCGATGTTTTAAAATGTGCAATTAGACTTTTTCTATAACTTCTAAGTTTTAATATTATTAAAAAATAGTTCTAAATAAACTTTTCGCGATGTTTTCAAATGTGCAATTAGACTTTTTCTGTCACTGATTTGATATAATATTTAATATTAATTTAATATTAATTTGATTATTAATAAGTTAAAAATAAGGAAAATGACATATTTAACCAATTTTGTTAATCGTTTAAAGTTGATTGTTGTAAATGTTTATAATAAAAAAAAAAANAAAAAAAGTTTGTTGGGAATTTTTTCTGCTATTCTGCAAACTCAATTGGCAAGTTTGACATTGACATCATTAAATAGAAAATTTTATGAGAGTTAAAAAAATTTTATCGTTAAGATTAATATGCAGTCAGAAAGTTTTATAATTATTATTTATTGTAAATTTATCAGAAAAACTCATTATTTTTTGCATTTTTATCGTAATAGAACACTTAAATAGAAATCATAGTAATCATTTCTAAGTAATTTTTGATATTTAAAAAGATTCTACTATTGAAATATCCAGAACTGAATTAATTTTAATGATTTACTTTAACTAAAAAAAAAAAAGTTAATATTTTGAATCCCTCTTGTGGGCAGGTAAAGGGTTAGATTTATAAAAAAAACCAAATGATAGATAAAGACATGCATCTAAATAAAAAAAAATATACTGATTTGGTCATTTTTGATAAAGTTATAACAATTAACAAAGTTATAAGTTTTATACACTGGACTACAAGGAACTTCCATCAGAAACAAAAATATACTATTCTAAATCAACTTTTCGCGATGTTTTAAAATGTGCAATTAGACTTTTTCTATAACTTCTAAGTTTTAATATTATTAAAAAATAGTTTTTACATATAAAAAAAAATAATTAAGAACAAAAAAAATTGTTTTAAATTAATACTGATTTGATATAATATTTAATATTAATTTAATATTAATTTGATTATTAATAAGTTAAAAATAAGGAAAATGACATATTTAACCAATTTTGTTAATCGTTTAAAGTTGATTGTTGTAAATGTTTATAATAAAAAAAAAAATTTATTTTACCATAACTTTTAGCTCAATTGGTAAGTTTGACATTGACATAATTAAATAGAAAATTTTATGACAATTAAAAAAATTGTATCGTTAAGATCAATATGCAGTCAGAAAGTTTTATAATTACTATTTATTGTAAATTTATCAGAAAAACTCAATATTTTTTTGCATTTTTATCGTAATAGATAACTTAAATAGAAGTAATAGTAATAATTTCCTAATAACTTTTGTTGTTTGTAGAAAAGATTCTACAATTGAAATATTGAGAACTTAATTAATTTTAATGATTTACTTTAACTAAATGAACCAATCAAAACAAAGTTGTTAAAAAGATTTACTTAATTAAGTGTTATAAAATTTGATTATATTTTTAAAAATCAATTGTTAATTTAGGAGAAAAAACAATCATTTTTTTTAGAAATGTTTATATAGCAACATGTTACAAAAAAAATTGTAATATTATAGTCTAGTAGTAGCACACACAAACTTATTTCAAACTTAAATTTAAGCTAATTCAAATTTCAAAGTTATTTTTCTCGATTAAAAAGAAGCAAACTAATTTAAATAAGTTTAACTTTCTATACTATATTAATTTTAATTTATATAATATTTATGAAAATCTGTACTCCTCTTGTCAGGTATTTTAAAATAAAATAAAATACAAATCCCAGAATTTTAACACAAAAATAGCATATTTTTGCATATGGTAGTCATTTTGACCATGAAGACAAGTCCAGAGGTCAAATTTTTTTTTTTCAGATTAAAGTATATTACATTAGCTTTAATTTAAGATATATATAAAAGTGTCAGTCCTTCCGGAACATTTTCAAAAGTTAAGTTGAAAAAGTTCTACTTTCTATATGCATTTTTTATATTTGAAGCCCCCCCATATATAGGGAAATAGTCTGATTTAAAAAAAAAGTATATCCAATGAAAGATGTATATAAATACTACTTCTCATGAAAAAATTGTATTGATCCATACATTTTTTAAAAAGTTATAGCACTTTAAAGTAAAAAATGTAAATTATAAAATCGAAAATTTTCACACAAAAATAGCATTCGGTAGCCGTTTTCACCATGAAGACAAGTCCAGAGGTCAAATTTTTTTTTTTCAAATTAAAGTATATTACATTAGCTTTAATTTAAGATATATATAAAAGTGTCAGACCTTCCGGAACATTTTCAAAAGTTATGTTGAAAAAGTAAATTTTTTGTGAAAAAGTTGTCATTTTAAATCCCCCCCTGTGGGCAGAAAAAAGGTCAAATTTACAAAAAACACATCTTAGTAAAACCAATACCTTCTCAGCTTCGCATCGAAGCTAAAATGTTTGATTCCTGTGATCGAAACTTTAATATTATGTGGTCGGCAGGGTTTGGCACTTCGTGGTTCAAAAGATTCAGGAAGAGTAACTTCCGAAGAACCTATATCTAACGATGGTAATTTTTGGGCTCTTTTAAGATATCGAGCAAAAACTGATGAACAGCTTAATAATTTTTTACAAAATTTAGCAATAAACGCAATGTACATTAGTAATCGTGTTCAAAACGAATTTATTGTCATATTTCACAATTTAATTCAAAAACAGATTATTGAACGTGTCAATAAATCTCGAGCTTTTTCTATAACAGCAGATGAAACTGCAGATATAGCCGGCATAGAACAACTTTCAATCTGTGTACGGTATTTAAATTATAAGGACAGTAATTATAAAATATGTGAAGATTTTTTAAGCTTTATCCCTGTTGAAGATGTAACAGGGAAAGGTNTTTTTTTAAGCTTTTTCAAACCTGTTGAAGATGTAACAGGGAAAGGTTTATCAAATGCTATTTTGAATTTCCTAGAATATTCTGTAATAGATTGTACATATTTATTTGGGCAAGGTTATGATGGGGCTAATACTATGAGTGGTGAACTTCACGGAGTTCAATCTTACATAAAAAAAAAATATAATTTAGCTCTATACTCACACTGTGCTGCCCATAGTTTCAATTTAGCAGTTAGTGCTGCATGTAGTAGCCCTCAAGTCAAAAACTGCCTTGGTACAGTCCAATCTATTTATAACTTCTTTAATACCCCAAAAAGGCAAATTGCACTTCAGGATGCAATAAAAAATAATGACACTTTGTTACAAAAAAAAAAAAAGAAACTTAAAAAATATTGTGCAACAAGGTGGGTACTACAACATGAGTCGATTGGAACTTATATAGATTTACAACCAGCAGTTATTGATGCCTTAGAAAATATTTCGAGTACTTGGACAGACTAAAAAACAACATCCGGATATTTTCAATTACTATTTTTAATTATTATTTACATACCATACCTTGATTTATTTATTACTCATCTTCAAGATCGCTTCCTCAGGCATCGTAATATTTTGTCAAACTTCTCATGTCTTTTTCCTATAGAAACAATATCTTTAAACAAAGATTCGTGTAAAAAGTTATTTAAACTTATTGTTCAATTTTACACGACAATTCCCCAGAAATTTGGCGACGACAGACAAGCTGGTAAAAATATTCGAAACGCCCTCGATATTTATAATTCAGATGCGTTTCCAAATGTTCTTAAAATGTTATGTGTAATGTCAGTTTTGCCGGTTACTACAGTGACTAATGAAAGGTTATTTTCAACATTACGTCGGCTTAAAACCTATTTAAGGTCATCTAAGGAGAAGATCGTTTAAACGGGCTGGCTTCGTTGAATATCCATCGTGACATAAACGTGGATATCAACGAAGTATTAAACGAATTCTTTTCTACTCATCGTAGATTAAATTTATTAAAAAAATGATATTTAATTTTATAGTTTTGTCATGATTTATTTATATCATAAATATATAGTATATAATATTGGATAGTTATTGATGAATCTATTAAATATATATATTTTTTAAAAAAAACCCCATTGTGAAATCCTGCGCACGGGCCTAAACTAGTGTTATGCAACAAATTTACTATCGATTCACTAAATACATGATTTGTAGAAAAAAATCAAGTAGATCAAAGAGAAGACCTGAACAAATTGATTTAATTTCTGTATGAAAATTATAAAATGTAACGAATCATAATTTAACTCTTACATGAAGATGCGAGTTCAGAAATACAACCCAACTTTTCTGTCTTGTCTTGTAAGTGTTGAGACTGAAAGTTCAACGGATGAATATCTATTATAATAGTTATTTCCATAAGGAAATAATATAAAAATAAATACATGGTATACAGCAAATCAGATAATTGTAGAAATTTTGCTTATATTTTATAAATTGGCCGCAAAATACCTTCATACTCGTCTATGTCTAACATATAATCGCGGTCAATAGATATTCTACAGATTAATCCTGGGTTGCAGTCACTGAATGTTAAGTTGTTTGTTTTGAAGGCTTGGAGAATCACAATAATGTAATATTATTTCAATTAATATATTCATTCGAAAAAAAATCACATTGATTTGATAAATTTAATTTTTCAATAATTAAGAAATATAAATTTTAATTTATTAACTTGATACTTGCCTTTACAAGATAATGATCTATAATAACAATTATTTAAATAATATTAGACAATAATAGTTACATTGCAGCATCACAATTCACCTTATTGTCTCCTATATAGAAATAAAAAAATAATAATAATAGGTAATTATACATTTAATTGTACAATTTTTTACATTGTTGTACAAATAGTCAATAGACACATAACAGTATTTAGATATTTTTTTTTCAAGAAAAAATAACAGTAAAATATTAATATTATTTAAGCAATGGTTAACAAATATGTATGTTACTTTAATGTCAGAATAAATTAAGTTATTACAGTTAACAAAATAAATATTACTTAATACATTTATAGTACAATATAATATTAAATATTTGTTTCATATCACAGCATACTAACAGAAAATGAGTAATAAATTTAAAATATATATGAACTAATATCTTGGTAAAGATTTAAGAAAAATAAACAATAGTATTCTATAAATGCAAAATATTTTTTTTATATTTAGGTATTAAAAATGTATTTAATAACTGTAAATAAATGTTATCATGAATAAAAAATTGTAAAAATTAAAGGACTGAAGTATAATACTCAATATTCAGTGTTTATCAAAATATATTGGAATGGAATGGATTTGAAGTTAATTTTATTTCCTAAATGTGTTGGTTTTTAAATTTTATTATTTATATATTTCTACAAATTTTAAATAAATAATTAAGTTATATTATTGGAACATAAGACATATACATTTTTGTGTTAGTTTTTTTTAAATTTATCATAAATATGTTTTTAGGAAAATTACTATGATTTGATATTATGTAACTGAAATAATTTGTTTTCTAATTATAATCTAAATTTAGGAAATAATTATTGGTCAAGTTTTAAAATTTTTAACAAATATAAAAGTGTAATGATTACATGTTAATTAACTAACATAAACATGCTTACCTATCCCCCAAATATTTTAATAAAGTTAAACTTTTAAAAATAACAAGTTTTTTTATTATGTTTAACAATGGAATTTTAATTTAATGTGTATTTACACATAACAAATACAAAATTTACTTGTAGTAAAAATAATAATACATTCTGAGTCTTAATTACAAAAATAGTAAAGTAGGGTTGTTCATAATATTAATTTTGTTTAAAAATTATTTTAAAAAATTGATCGGCATTTTCAACAATAATTTTAAAAAGTTAGTTTTCAAGATAATTTTAAGTAGATGAACTCTTTCTTAACACTTATTTATTCGTTTATTTTTTACTTAGCTCATATTATTCATTGATAACTAAAAATAAAAATATTCTGTAGTTAATTAATAAATAATTTAGAGCTTTAAGAGAAATCACGAGTTTTTATTATAATTAAGTACTATTAATAAACTATACACAAAAATTGATTGATTATTGGAAATAGTTTTAGCTTTATATTTTATACCCCCAACTAGTACAAAAATGAAATTTGTTCAACAAAAATTGTAATTAAAAAAAATAATAATAATGAATTTGATGACTAGGCAGCATATTGTAACAACTCTTCAATATAATTAAGAATAAAAATAATTTAAGTTTCGAGTCAATTAGGTTCATCTAAAATATCATCATCAGTATCATCTAGTTTAGATCCACTAGTACAAACACGACATTTACAACATACTATACATGGAGCAGCCAGTAACAATAGTGGACTAGCTACTAAAAGCAGTATTCCAAATCCAGCAAATATACCTATAACTTGAGTTCGATGCCATATAACTGAAGCTCTTGAATGTCCTAATTTATTTTTGCATGGACCTTTATCATAATGTCTTAGTAAAAAATCATCCTAAAATTTAAATAAAATTAAGAAAATCTTGTCTATTTTAAGCTTATTTGTCACTTACATCTAAAGAAGCTAAACAATACCAACAAAATACATGTTTGCATCGTTTACATAACATTTGAGCACAGCCTTCGTCTTTTTCAATAGGGACACTACACATTGGACAACATTTAATCAAATCAGAATCAAATGTTGGCATATCATGAGTAGACGGTGGAGGACAAGGTTTACCAGGGTGCCATGTTGCACGACATCCAGAGCAAAAATCTGTTTGACAAGTAGGACAAGCAACTCTATGAGGACGAGAACGATCACCAACATTACAAACAGTTTCACACCCGGGCTTTGGACACCACATTCGACTTTTGTCCAGTTCTACCTCTGAATTAACAATTAAAATCATTAAATTTTAAATAAACTTTGGAACAGATTTCGTAGATTTCAATAATAATAATAATAATAACTATAAAATATCACATTCACTATTAGAAAATTTTACTAAAGGCATCACAAAAATAAACTCATTTATAAAAGAAAGTGAACATTTTAGTAATATATAAATTTGTTTATATATATTTAGTTTATTATAATCTAATTTAAATTTAAAATGTATAAAAAAAACTATAAATGTAGTAGTAATAATAATAACTATGTAAATATAATACAATATAAGCCAAAACAAATAATCAATAAAATAAAGATTATAAACATATTAAAATAGGAAGCATTCGAAAAAATTCATTTCTATTAAAATAATGCCTTCAAAAAGTTATATGTATATAAAAATAAAATTTATTGTTATAAATTTTAGGTGAGTATCCAGAATATATTTTGAATAGTCTAAATAAAAATTTAAAAATCTACATATGTGCCTGATATATTTTAATTTTAAATAAATAAGTTTTGTTCTAGTTTATTTAAAAATATAGGGTAAAACATGTCACCCAATATTTTTAATTAAAAAATAATATTTCCTTCATTAATTACCTTTATTTAATCTGTATCTGTGATGTTTTTCAATTTCATCTACACTAACCAAAACTTCAATTTCTTCTATTTGAATTACTCCTTGTTTTGAACATTGAGCATCAGGGCAAGAAATATTATATGCTCCTTGGTTGATTTCAAATTCTACATATGCTTTTGCACACTATTATATTATAAAATATACAAATATTATTTAAAATTATTAAATGTAATTCATATTTATATATGATGTATATAAATATGTAAAAACTAAAATTAAATGTAATAAGATGTAGACTTTAAATAATTTGAGATGGTTTTTAAAGTTATTTAACAGCATTTTGTAAATAATACATTAAAATAAAACTTGTGAGCTATAAAATTGAGAGAATATTTTCTTAGAGTGTATTTGTTTATACATGTATTCAATACAAATTTTTTATACACATAATTAGTTTTGTTTAACCCATTAATAATTATATATTGGTTGTAGTATTGTATGACTATTCTGTAATTGCCAAAATGAAAATAGAAACAAAACATTTTTATTAATATTGCATTAGCAAATATATAGGGGAGGCGAGAAACCTATAAATTCAAAGTTTAAAGATTTTTTAAGTTGTTGACTAAATATAAAAATTTATCAAAATTTAATACTCACATCAATACAATAAGAGCATTCACACTGTTGAAGTGTCCAAGAGTTTTTTATAGGAACTTCATTCAAACAAACTTTACATAATACAATTGGTTGGTCTTTATGTATGACAAAACTTGAAGCTGAGCCTAAAGAGTACCTTGATGATGAAGCTGCTAGTGATAAAACACTGCTACATCTTGAACAAACTGCAGTGTCTCGTAATCGATTAATAGGTTTAATTCCCATTGGTCGATTAAGCACTACTTTAGATAATGTTACCATTGTATTGTACTTTCGAATAGGTTCATCACTACCACGTATACTTCCTAAATGTGACCAACTTTCTGCTGAACTAGGCTGACTTAATGATGTAGTTGAAGATGACTTTCCTCTGGCCAAAGTAACCAAAGAACGTAAACTTGGCATAACCAAATCTATTTTGCTTTTACTCCATTTGCGAAGTTTTCCTGTACTATCTTCTTCATCTAAGGGTACTCCATTATTTAAAAGCACTTGATCTTCACCCTGCCAACTTTTTCGATTTATTTTAGGCAAATCAATTTCACTTTTAAACTGTTCCTTTTCCAATCCATTTTGCCTTGATAAAACAGTGATACGATGGGACTTTGGCCGTCGAAATGGATCTCGTTCAAGTATTATCTCATGACTGTCATCTTCATCATCCTGCAAAGAATGCGTACGTTCATAATTAACAGCGGTCTTCTTCATAATAACGGTCGACGTGACCGCCAATCCGTCGACCGATCAGTTTGAGGCAATGGACGATAATTTGACATTTTTTAAAAAATATATTTGACTACATTTTGTAACTCTTATTTATAAAAATATTATAGCTCGAATTTTTTGTGTTAATCTTCATCTGTAAAATCAGTAAATTTCAAAACATATGTGCTAGAAAAGAATGTAAACAAATATAAGCAAAAGATAAAAAATTATATAAAAAAATGTAATATCCAGTACCTGATATTTTACTGAAATGATGACCTCATTTTATCTTGTAGGAAGATAATGAATTACTAGCATTTAAATTAATTATTCTGATTATTGTCAGAGTAGGTCACCAATATCACGAACAAACAATCGATAAAGTGATACTGAAATTTCTTCTCATACGTTAACTAGACGAGTGTAAGAAAACTGATTAACATTGTAGTAAAATGAGAACATATTTTCATTGTTTTTATCAAACGAATAGTTTGCCCAATCAGCCAATTTGACAAATGGTTGTAAACAAGCGCGCCAATAGACGAAAATAAACCGGTGACAGGTTGACAAACATCAACTGTATTCGTAGTAATTAAACTAGAAATTTGATTTTAAAAAATCTTAAAAAAAAATTAATTAAGAATTTATTATAAAACTTAGCAATTATTCAGTATTAAATAATACCCATAGCTGGAGAATTCTATGCAAATATATCAAAAAACTGCAATAGTACAGGCTTAAAAATATTAGATGTACATTTTGTTCATAATCTATAATTTCTTAATTATCGAAATTGTACTTCTTCTTAATCAGTACTTTTGTGTACTTGATATCTAATTTTATAGTCATACATCAAATTATAATAAGCTGACCACCTATTGTTGTTGAAATCTATAAACAAACTAAAAAAATATGTATATGATTTGACTGCACCCAATAATCGTTCGAATTAGTTTACTGTCTATGATATCTATTTGATGATGTGGTCTAATTCATAGTCACATTCGTCCTATTTTGTCTTTTTTAAATTCCACTGTGATGGTTACATAGAATGTATCAGTGGTACTTTTAGGAAGTCATGGGGATTCTCTAATATATATCTTTTTACCACTGTATGTCGGTCTAAGAAATTTCTTGATGTTATGAATTTATAAAAAACACAAACACCATTAAATTATGTTTAATTGTTTATTTTCAAAATATTTTTAACTTAGTTAGGTTTCAGGGTCAATTACATTTTTATATTTATTTTTTTAGTTAAAGAAGCAGAATGCCCCATAATGTAGATTTTGCTAAAATTGTTTATTTTTTTATTTAGATGTTCAAAAATTATGTACCAGATGAAAAATGACAGAAAATAAATATTAATCATTTAAAGTCATATAAGTTCCTAATTACCCATCTAACTTGTTTGTGTATATTAATGGTTGAACTGCTTTTAATAATATTTTTATATGAATGTTGCAATTCATCTTTATCTAGCTATAAGTGAATTCCGACATTGACAAAAAAATATATGTATGTTAATATAATATGTTGGCGCCAAGCGTGAGCGCTGCACTAATGTGTTTGGCGGTATGGGTGTGGTCAGATGATGATGCTAGTGCGCCATCAGCTGTTAGGATGCCTTATCAGCGGCCTGTGTTTTTGGTCGTTTTTTATTCAAAATATAATGTAAAATTATACGTTTAGGTTAAATTGGTTTGTTAGTGAAGTGTTGTTTTTCTGTATTATTTAGTTACTGAACGTTGTTCAAGTTTCATGTCAAAATACATTATTAGTATCATTATTATAATTGCATTGAGTTGTTTTCTTTTTTTTATTAGTTGTAACATTATTATAATAAGAATTGCAGGTTTCACTGTTATATATTGTAGTTCATTTCATTCAAATGAAGTGTGCACCTTTGTGTAATTTAATAAGTACTATGGATGAGTATATTCTTTAATCAGTTAATTCACTAATAATAAAAATCGATTGTTAGTATTTAATTATTTAGTTTTCTTTATTAAGCTGAACAATCTTCTTTCGAGCTAACAAAAAACATTTTTCTTTTAACAATGTTAAATTGATTAGTAATTTCTCCTATCATAAGTCGCACGGCAAAGTTTTATTCCCCTTTTTATTTTGGTTTGGATTTTTTAAAACAGCTCATGAGGCAACAATATAAAAAATCAATTATGTTGTGATTTTATCATTTTATCTAGAGACTCTAGAGATGATAATTCTTTAGTTCATATCATTAGATTTCCCTTACATCAAAATTTTATTTTAAATTGAATAGATTTTAACAATTTTTGTAAATCACTTCATTTTTTGGTAGGGTGAAAATATAAAAATGTATGAAACCAAAATATTTTTATTAGCATTAAACAGTCACGTATCCAGGGGGATGAAAAAGCTTAGGTCAAAACATTGACCGTGCTAAAATAATATTTTAGATAAAAAATCATTAAAAAGTCACTAAAATTTCTATTGGTATTAGTACCCCTTTATTGAAAAATTACTGGCTTCAAAAAAATTTGAATAAATAATGCTTTGAAGAAAAATAAAATAAACAAAAACCCAACCCTATTAAGACTGAGGCGATGCATTCCACTTAAATAACCTAGAGGCAGTTTTCAATAATGTACATATATAACACAGTCTCAAGGCCAAGTACCGGCGAAACGGTTACCAGTATTAACTAACATTCTGCCAAAATCTTTACATAGAATTTTTTTTTATAAAGAACCTTTAAAAAAGACAAAAAGATCTCTGCTACACCAAATGTTGTAAAATATAACAAATCTTAGGTTAAAATCAAGAAAAACACGTGCGGTTCCATGATATTCAGATTGGATCTAAAGGACAGCCTCGCATGTTCACTACAATAACTAAACAATACACCATATTGTGGAAGTTTGTTCAATGAGAAAGTTCAGCTAAGGCATTAAGGGAATTCGTGCAGCAAATAATATTGATTTAGAATGGATACAAGAATTAAATATCTCTTCAATTATAAGTGATTATTTTACTTTTTTATCTATTGAGATATATTTAAATTTTACCTGTTTATTTGTTAACCAGCTATACAAAATAAATACAATTTTAGAACTAATATATACACAATTTTCTTTAAAACAACCACTTTTTGGAGGATCGCAATTTACCAGTTTTGCATGCTTCTCTTTGCCTTCCACAATGGGCCATAGGGTTTTGTCTTGGAATATTATACAAGAATTTTCTTTTTATCTCCTGCAATAAACATTTTTACCATATATCCTTATGGAAGAGTATGAATATACTAACACAGCTATATATTAGTGGGTGGGTCTGCCGACTACGCAATACTTCGGAAAATAGTCGAGTATGGGAGGTACCATATCTTGTAGTTATGCTTTATTAAATTTAAAGCATATGAAACATTTGCTACGGGCACGTAAGCAAGTGCAAGTATTATATGCGTAATTATATGTTACTACTGTGCAGGCAATACATTCTCTAAATCTTAATTTCTAACACTTCCAATAAATGTGAGAATGACGTTTATGTTACTACTAGTATGGAACCCATCAAGTACTAACTTTTTTCCGATAATTTTAGATATTGTAGTATGTTTTAATTTATATTTCTATGGTTACTTATATTTCTTTACACATTCAAACATTAAATACTCTAAATTTCTTATTAAGAATAACGAAGACAATGATTTATTAAGTAAATGGATTCATGAAATAAGTGTTAGGAAAAACAAATCTTGGTGAAATGGCTTGTCGAGAAAGTGGATTTAGGAAACTGTAAGGGAATCACATTGAACAATCCTATTCTGAATCTTATATCCTAATATACAGAGTAATTCATTTATCACGAATCAATAAATCAAAAAATAAAAAGCCAGTACAGGGGGTCGCGGCTCAGTGGTGACGTAGCATAGTTGGATCAAGTATAATGATCCATGATTTGTTACATGTTACAATGTTACATGATTTGCTAGTTCCTTATTAATATCCTGATTAAGATAAAGTATGTCGAATGAAAAGGGGATTATTAAAAAATATTATTTCTCATAAAAAATTTTTGTTGATCCGTACACTATTCAATAAGTTATAGCATTATAAAGTTAAAAATGTAAAAAATAAAATAGAGAATTTTCACACGAAAATAGCATTTGATAGCCGTGAAAACAAAATAAAGTCCCAAATTTTTTTTTCCATAAGAAAGTATATTACATTAGCTTTAATTTAAGATATATATAAAAGTGTCAGTACTTCCAGAACACTTTTAAAAGTTCAGTTGAAAAAGTTAATTTTTTGTGAAAAAGTTGTCACTTTGAATCCCCCCCTGTGGGCAGGTCTAGGGTCAAATTTATAAAAAAAATATATCAAATGATAGGTAAAGACATTAAGCATCTATAAAAAAAAATAATATTGATTTGTTCATTTTTGAAAAAGTTATGGCAGTTTTAAGTAAAAAAAATTGAAAAAGTTTCGAAAATTAGCGATTTTTAAATTTGTAATTTTTTTGGAGGTTTCCCCCATTTAGGGGGAACGAGGGAAATTTTTTCAATTTTTGAGGGTAATGTCTTCGACTAAATACGATTTGTGATCTTTTGACGTATCGTTGAATGAAATCCGTTTGGTGAAAGCTGAGAAAAAGTGGTAACACAAAAAAAAAAAAAAACAGTAAAATTAATACCTTCTCAGCTTCGCATCGAAGCTAAAATAATATTGAGCATTTTTCATTTAGTTTCCTTGAGATACATGTTTTACTCAATTTTTCAAATCATGAAGTATATTTTATGTTATCCCTTATACCTTACATAGGTGTCAACTTAATTTATAAAAAAGATAATATACATAATTGACTAGTTTAATTATTAAATATTGATCTAATTAAGAAAATGACTGATTACTAACAACTTTTGGACCAGTATTTCAGAACTTATTAACGTTTCAATAATTTATTGGTAGTACTCTATCTTTCACCTATATATAAAGATATATATTATTTTTACCTGCATAAATTAGAGTATTCATTAATTAAATTAGAGTATTCATACAAAAAAATGCATTACAAGAAATTTATGAAACAATTTAAAAATGAATATTTTTTATTTTATTTAATACAATGTTTCATTTACTAATTTTAAAGAATATTTTTACACTGTAAATTTTAAAACAATACAAATATATAAAAAACAATATAAGTAACAAAATAATTTTAACACAAGATCTAATTAAAAATATTCAGTTTTAATAAAATTTAAGTCCATATGTTTCTTATCTAAGTCAAGATTTATTTATCAAATTTTTGATATTGAAGTAGAAATCACTACTTTTTATTTATAATATATTTAGGCATTTTTAAGTAAAAAAATAATTATAACAAATATTAAATTATTCATAAATTATAACAAAATATATACTAAAATAAATAAATATAAGTATCTAAATCACATTTTGTTAAAGCATAGTCATACAATAATCACATATTCAAAATTATGTGATATGTATAGCTCAAAAATTGAATTAAAACATACCATCACTTGCTCCTAGAGGTATTAACAGTAAAATAAAACAAATTAGATTGCGGAACAAGTCCTTATGTTCAGTAGGAACAGCCAAAGGTGTTAATTTTGTGGTAATCTCATGTAACTGTGAATAAAAGTTAGATAAATAAATCATTTATGCATTTAAATATAATTTCATAAAACGTACCTCATGACAAATACAAATAAAAATAAAGGATACTATAAGACCATTAAGAACTGGGTAGCCTGGTAATAATACCAATACACCATGGGTATCAGCTGCTAACCAAATATGACACTGGCAAACCATTAACTCAAGAGATATTCTGCCAAACCACGCAAATAAACTAGAAAATTTTGTTCTTAGGATTCCTGACATATTCCTAATAATAATGTAGCTTAGTATCTAAAAAGAATATAAAATAAATAAATGAAAATATTTTTTTTAAAAAATAAGCATTACTAACGGGAATAATTGATGTATAAGACAAAAATTCTGAGCATTCTGTTTGATTTTGACATAAAATATTATAAGCTGTTGATGCTGTTAGTCCAATAAGAGCTAGTATAGAAGAAAATACAGCTAAACGAGGAGATACTAAATTACTATGATTGTTATCATCAATAAAATTGTATCGTTGAATTAAGATTATAATAAAACTTATTATGATTCCATACATAATACTGAAAAACAAATATTTAAATTATTTGAATATTTTATACTTAATGTTAATATAATTTATATAAAGCAAAAAAAATATTAAACAAAAGTATTTGGAAATTACCTAAAGCGATTAAGTTGCCAACGAATCCACCATTCATGTATGTCATCATCAGTTGTAACAAATAATGCTTTCCAAGGTCGCATGAGAAATATTTTATCAAAAAACACCTTTAGAAAAAAACATTACAAAAATTGAATATTACTATTATATGGCACATCTTGAAATTATTTAACATACTTCTGACATGTATAAAATTATAATGAAAATGAGGAGAACCAATATTTTAAAAATTATGTATAAATATTGTGTAGGTCTAGTTTCTGATGAAGCTGCAGTTACACGAGGTGGACATAATAGTAATAAATAAAGAATAGTAAACCAAAATGACACTAAAGGTATATAAAAATAAAACTGATATGGTCGATTCATACAAATACACAGTACTATAGTCAACATATTTAATCTAAATAAGACCTAAAAAAATAAATTTCATTTTTAATAATCTGTAAGCATATCAAAACAAAATTAGAAAATCAAATTATAGTTTAAAGGAATTCCAAAAATTGCAAATGTATTTCCTTAAGCAGTATAATATAATATTGGTTAAAAAAAAAAAATGTACTCTAGGACCAAAATAATGTTAAGCAATATCAGATTTTTATTTATTAAATGTTGAATATTAGGAAATAGCTAAAACACTACAAAACAAAGTTTATTAAAAATTTTCAATAAAAAATTAATTACAATAAATATTAAAACAATGAAATACTTAAAGATTGCAATTGATAAAATAACTTTTAATTAATTTCTAACTTTTTACCACTCACCTTTATCAGTTCTCCGTCCAGTAGTTTAACATACACACAAGACAAGAGAATGATAAAGGAGAGTAATAAAATAATTTGTCAAGAGTAATATTTGCACCAAATTTATTAGTAAACTTACTTGAAAATAGCGAGTTAAACCAACATCATTTTTATGCCAAATATAACAAAAGTGTCCAAACCCAGTTAGAAATAGATATGCTGCAATTAAAGTTTGGACATGATTTGAAATAGAAATTTTTATATTAGCTCCAGTTAAGTGATATATTAATATAACTAACTGCATCCACCCTAAAAAATGTGTTCATACGCTTATAAAAAAATATATATAAAAAAAATCATGTTTAAAATATATGTAACATAATTTTTAAATTTGAATAAGGTTAATGAATAAATATTTTAAAATGAACACTTCCATATTATATATAATTTAAACTATTTTTTTTTTTTTTTTTTTTTACAACGTTAGGTTGGTGAATACCATTGGTATATCCTGGGGAAATTTAAGTGCATTGGTTTCCGATGTCTTCTGCAATGAGAACATGGTGCTTTTTTTTTTTTTTTTTAAGAGAGTAGTTTAAAATATTTTTTACAATTTTCTCTTACCTATTATATCTTTTATAATGTCATATAATAGTTTAAACATTAAATTTTTACTTCTCAAATTTATATACAATATATTTAATTCAAGATATAAGAGTGTAACACAACCAATTCATTTTTTACAACTCCAACTCCTTTTTTGCTATATATTATCATTGCTAACAATGATAATATAAAACAAAGTAACATTTTGTTTTATATTTTAAATCTAAACTATGATTTTTTCAAAAGATAATTGTATCCTACATTCTACGACTTAAAAAAATACAAATTATTCTTCTTCTTATTTTATTCTGTTGTTCGTGTATTAAATTATTCTGTACTTCTACTTCTTTTTCCTTGTCTTATCCCAACTACTCGGGATCCTAAACTTCCATTTGACAAGATCATCCTCATCATCTACACTCACATCAGCCCTCCTCATATCGCATTAAATAACACCCCCCCATCTCTTTTTCTATCCTTTTCTTTCTACTTCCTCCCTATTTTCTCCTATTAACACTATATCAACAACATGCACCACGGTACCTCTCCTTGTATTTCTCTAGTAATTTATCCATCACTATAGAGAATAAATAAGGGCTTAAGGCAGAACCATGGTGCACTCTTACCCTTACCCTAAAAACCTTCTGTTACTCCTCCTGCATTTTTTACCCTAGTACAAATGTCATCATACATATCCTCTATTATATTAAAGTACTTTTTTGGGACTGCTTTTCTCATTAATTCCCACTTTAAAACCTCTCTAGTACTCTATTGTACGCTTTCTCCAAATCTATAAATACCATACACAGCTTTTTCTTCTTTTCCCTAAACTTTTCTATTAGTTGCTTCATACAAAATACTGGTTCCATTGTTGACTTACCAGGCATAAATCCAAACTGGTTTTTAGATAACGTTGTCCCATTTCTTATACTCTTATCTATTACCTTTTCACAAATTTTCATACTATGACTCATAAGCTTTATGCCTCTAAAATTTCCACACTCCTGTATGTCACCTTTACCTTTAAATATCGGCACCACAATACTATTCCTCCATTCATTTGGAATTTTCCCTTCTAATAAGATTTTATTTAAAAGTTCCTTCAACCACCTTATGTCAACACCGCCTAACATTGAAACTTCATTATTCTGATAATTGATTCTTTTTTGTTTTAGCTTCGATGGAAAATTGAGAAAGTATTAATCTTACTATGATATATTTTATAAGGCAATTTATTCAAAATTAATAAAAAAAAATGTAGAAGTTTTTGTATGAAATATTTAAAAAATATATAATCTAATTGAACACGAATCATTTATTGTGTTTTTATTTTATTAAATTGAATCATCGTATTATTATATTATTTAAATATTTATGTAGAGTTGTACACGTTCAAAAGTAATAAAAAAAAATCATAAGTACCATAATTAAAATTGTTATTTTACATTTTGTAAAAGGTATACACAGTTGTAGTGTTGAAAAGTGGTAATACTGATTTACCTAAATAAAAATAGCGGACTGATTCTAATCACCTTTCTATATAGACTATATAAATTTTTATCAGTGTCCATTCTGTTTATTGTTTGATAGAAACTCTATTACCAGGTTTGTATCCTTATCAATACAAGGCAATTGAACTTAGTTATCAAATTTTATTTTTATCTAAAATTTATAAAAAGAATTATGACTAATGATTTGTTTTAAAAATGATCAACATTGGAACGAAAGACAAAATGTAATAACTATTAACGAGGGTACTCTTCATTCTGTAATTTTTCAAAATATTCTTTCCACCTTTTTTTCACATCATCATCATTTGAGAGTACCTTATTATCAACACTTTTTATACACTTATATAATGATAATCTTTAGACCTTTTCTTTCTTACCTTTGCAAGTTTATAGATTTCTTTCTCGCCTTTATTTGTTCCTAGCCTATCATACCTCTTAAACTTCACCTTATTTACTGCACACTTGGCTTCTTTGCACAAGCGTTTTACTCCATCTAATCTTCTCTCCTTTTGCTATTCTGCTATACTTTGAATTGCTTTTGTTACTTTCTATGATTTTTTGAACATCCTTATCCCACCACCAGGTTTCCTTGTTTCCTAACATCCTACTCCTACTCCTACTCTCACCAACAAGCTCCTTTGCAGTTTTCTTTACACAACTAGCAAATCTATTCCACACATCATTTTTTTCTTCCTTGTCATTCAATGCCGTCCTCTCTTTTACAAACTCTTTTTCATTTTCTCCTTTCAATTTCCACCACCGGATCTTCGATTTTTCTTCCGTGTTCTTTCTATTTTTGTATATTTTCTTTCCGGTTCACCACAACTCCATTACCATCAGTGTATGTTGTGTAGTAACACTCTCACCTGGTATAACTTTACAATCTTATACTCACTTTACGCTCTTTCTTTTCCACATAAAATAATCAATCTGTGATCTATTCCTCCCACTCTTATAAGTTTTATAATGTTCTTCCCTCTTTCTAAAATAAGTATTAACCACAGCAAGATTATACAATATTGCGATATCCAGGATTCTTTCTCCAGCCTCATTCTACGCACTAAAACCATACCCTCCATGTACTGTTTCATATCCTCTCCTCTCATTACCTACATGTTCATTCATATCTTCACCTATCACCGCATCCTCATTGCCAGGTACCCCTTGCATCACCTCATCCATCTCTCACCGAAACACTTCTGTGTCTATTTCATCACATCCTACTATTTACATTCAGCACTTTATCCTCCAATATCAATTTTACGACTATAATTCTTTCACTTTTCCTAGCTACTTCTACGACTTTACTTTTCATCTCCTCATCCATTATCCCTACACCATTCTTTGTACTAGACTTACCTGAGTATATTATTTTATAACCCTCACCTATTTCCCTCCCTTCCAATTAGTTTTCTGCACACAAAAAATATTAACTATTCTCCACTTCAATACTTCTACTAATCGTGTAAATTATATTTACACAAACTCCTAAGGAGAATATACATTTTTTAATGATATTAATGTATATGTATTTTTATTTGTCAATTACATAATGAAAAAATAACTAGTTTACCTTTCCACTCATCAGTTTGATCTCGATGAAGTAATTTTGTATACCTGCTTTCTTCAGTAAAAAATAAGCCTAATACAAACACATATCCAACAGGTAACCAAAAACTAGCATCTGAATAATATTTGTTTTCTTTCATAAAAAAGTTTGTTCTAAAAATAATACTTATGTCAAATTGTCAATAAATATAATAAAAAAATTATGGAATAACACCTGTCACATAGGTAGAAGTACATCATGATAATACCTAATTTGGATAAAGATGTCATTAAAACATAAGATACATCATTTTTTGAAAGTCTATATCGACAGTATCTTATCTCCATTAAAATCCCTATGAACATACTGTAAAATAAAAATCATACATTTATTTTCAACAAGAAAGTTAAAATAATAATTTTGATTATTAATTATAATATTACAAACCAAACAATAAATGCTAAGAAAACATAGGCCTGTAAAGTAGTAAGAGGTTCAGTACTTGAACAACATGTACCATCGTTGAAATTCATATGATCATTACAATAAAAGTTTAATAATATTTGAGCTCTTAGCCTGAGAGATTCATTGCTGGAGTGTAAACCATCTGGACTATCATTTATTCCACCCTGCGAGACTAGCCTTGAACTCCACCACATTTCAGCAATACTTTGACTTAAAACCTAAAAAGTATCATGTAATTATAAAGCTGTTTTGACTCTATATTAAAAGAATTTTTTTTTAATTAATAAAGTTATTAACAATTTTAAGTAATGATTGGATATATGATGAAGATACTGTATTTTTGTCACTAATTATTTCTCATCCGTACTCTTCCTTTTATCTAAGTATCAAGATGTCAATAATTTCTAAAATACTTGTTCAAAAGTTGTTATTTCTTATATTGTTATTTCAGTCATTTCTTAATTTGATCATTATTTAATAAATTAGTTTGTTAATTATGTGTTCCCATTTAAAAAATAATTAATTAATATTCCTATAAGTTATAAGGGATGGATATTGAAATTATTTCATGATTGATAATTGAGAAAAGTATGTTACTAGATTAAATCATTAATACTTATTTACAGTATTTCACCATGTATGCATAAAGACAAATTGAAATACGAAATTTAAAATGATTATTTTTTAAATTTAACTCATTTATAAGCCATTAAGAAAAGTACATTTTTTTAAAAACTTTAATAAGGAAATAAAATTTCTATTTATTTAAAAATAGCAAATATTTGATTGAAAAATAATGAAAATATTAATTACAATAAATTATCCTAGTTGTAATATAATTTAATTCAGAGTGTAATTATGAATGAATTAAAAGAACACAACTGCTTATGAAATTCATATGACAACTTAGTTATTTAATGAAAATTGTACTTTTTAAAGGATTTTGATCACATACTATTCATTATATATTCTTCTTAATGCATAAAGAAAAATGAATGAAATTGATTTGTCTTGTCTCATATAATGAGTTATAAAACAAGAATAACTCCTTAGCTATAAAATAAATTTTATATTCAAATATTAAAAGAACATAAAAACCACCATTAGCTTTGTATCCACAAGAATAATAAAACACACTCATATGTTATGATTAATTTGAAATTATATCTTCTTCTTCTTGCTCGCCTTAATCCCAACTACTTGGGGTTGGCTACCCTTAATTATCAATGTAATACTAAGTGACAAATATTTATACAAATAATGTATTAATTCATAATTATAAACAATGTGAATAATATTTTTAGTTTTTCTCATTAAAAAAAAATACAACTAAATTTAGTTAAAATAAAAATTTTGGAGTCTGCCAACAAACATTACATCAATATTTTGAATTTTTAAGATATTTAGAAAAAATTTTTAAAATTTAATTGAAAACTACAATTTATAAGTAAATTTACAATTTAGCAAGTATTGTTCCAAAACCATAAATGTGTATCTTGTATATTTATAAAAGTTCACTTTTTAATATAAGATAAGGATAATAATTTACCATCAATATTTTTATGAATAAAAATTCTGTTATAATATATAAAAAATATAATATTTTTTTAACCTTATTATAATAAATTATCTCATTAATTTAATATCAATGTTTTCATAATTAACAATTTAAAATTAAAATCAAATAATGGAAAAATTTCTACAAAAAAATTGCCTAAGATGATTTTTTTTTATAATGCACTAGTAGTTCAGTAAAGCAATAAATATTGTTTAAAAAAACTAAAAAAACACGCTTTTAAAGTATATCAAACTAAAAAGTTTAAAATAATTTTTAAAATAAGCTTACAACAATAATGAACAAAAAATACTAGTATTGTGAAAAAAAGCGTCGGGCGATCAATATACAAAAAATATGACACAAAGCACCCATGCTTTTATCACAATAATACTAGTATTTTTCGTTCATTATTGTTTTAAGCTTATTTTAAAAATTATTTTAAACTTTTTAATTTGATGTTATGATAGTAGTTGCTATCAATATCATGGTTGTAATGGGTAACGGGAAATCAGAGTTCGATTCCGGGGAGGGAGGCTGAGAAACGGCTACTACATCCAAGGAAAGCAGCAGGCGCGTGAATTACCCACTCCTGGAACATGGAGGTAGTGACGAAAAATGACGATACGGGAATCATCCTTTGTAATCGGAATGAATACACACTATATCTCTTAATGAGAATAAAGCGTGTTAATATATATTTTTAATAGTAATTAGAATATATATATACATGTAAAGCGACATAAGTACGTAAACATATCATGCACTAGGTATAGCCTTGTTTTTTGGGGGGGGACGTTATACCTAAGGTATAAACGGCGGCAGCGGCGATAGGAATATATAAATATATATACGTAAGGTGCATTACATGCAGGTGGTATTGGTCAGTCAAAATAAAAATTTGTTTATAATTTGTGTACGGGTACGAAAACCAAAAATATAAAATTATACAGGATTAGTGTTGCCGGCGATTGGTGAGCGGGGTGGGGTGAATGCGTTAAAACGTCTAGTCTAGACGACGGGATACGCGAGAATAATAACACATGCCACATGGAAAGTTACAAACACACATCACACATACAAGTGAAACTAATATAAGCGTGTTAAAAAGACATTATGCTCATCAATCATATCCTTATTCTTTCTTTTAAAGGGTATTAATCTAGCCACCAATTTCAGTTAAGGCATAAACATTTAAATCTTTGTATAAAAATTAAAAACACTTAAAATATTATTATTTCCTTACTGGACCTTTTTTTTTTGTAAGTATCAAATTAAATTTTTACTCACGTCCATTGCTACTTCATTATATAAATCAATTAATTTGTTTGTAACAATTTTTAATGAATTATCTAATTTACTTTCTTCAACAGGTTCTTGCAATACCCATAATATAGTAGATTTAGATGATATTTCGTTGAATGGCTGCAAAATAAAATATATTAAAACAAACATATATGCAGGACAGACAACTTTTGTTGTAATTTCAATAGGAATTTTAATATTTTATATTTTTTAAATCATATGTGAACACCAAGAATGTTGACATCCATTTGACAAAAAAACCCAGCATAGGGGGGTCACGGCACAGTGGTGACGTAACATAGCTGGGTCAAGTATAATGATATCTGACAGTGATTAAAATCACTATCATAAAAAACGCTTTGATGCAAATCTGTAGATAGTTTAATTTTAAAAAATTGGTGGATTATTTCAAAAGCTACAAAAGCCTGATTACAAGTTTTATGATTTATAAGTATAATATTTAAATAAATAAATATATAAAGAGAAATGGTGTTATTTAAAAAAAAAAGTATGTCGAATATAAGAGGGATATAAATATTATTTCTCATAATAAAATTGTATTGATCCATACACTTTTCAATAAGTTATAGCATTATAAAGTTCAAATAGCATTTGGTAACTATTTTCACCATTAAGATAAAATAAAGTCCAAAATTTTGTTTTCCATAATAAAGTATATTACATTAGCTTTAATTTAAGATATATATTAAAGTTTTAGACCTCCCGGAACACTTTCAATAGTAATTTTTTGTGAAAAAGTTTTCATTTTAAATATCTCCTGTGGGCAGGTTAAGGGTCAGATTTATATTGAAAAAAAGTAACAAATGATAGGTAAAGACATCACACACCTATAAAAAAAAATTATATTGATTAGGTCATTTTTAAAAAAGTTACGGCACTTTTAAATAAAAAAAAAAAACGGTAACACAATGGGGTTGCGGCACAGTATGGACGTGGCATAGTTGGAACAAGTATAGATGATTAAAAATAAAAAGGAGTTGTATATTCATATACTTTTAACGCGTATAAAAATTTAAAGCGATTGATGCAATACTTTTTAATAAAAAAATTTTGTTACTTATGAATAAATACACTAGACTACAAGGAACTTCCATCAGAAACAAAAATATACTTTTCTAAATCAACTTTCCGTGATGTTTTCAAATGTGGAATTAAACATTTTTTATTACTTCTAAGTTTTAATATTATTACTTAATATTAAAAAATAAGTATTTACATATAAAAAAAAAAAAATTAAGAACAAAAATTATTGTTTTAAATTAATACTGATTTTGATTATTAATATGTTAAAAATAAGGAAAATGACATATTTAACCTATTTTTTTGATCATTTAAAGTAGATTTTTTTGAATGTTTATAATAAAAATTTTTTTATTTATTTTACAAAACTTTTAGCTCAATTGCAAGTTTGAAATTGACATCATTAAATAGAAAATTTTATGAGAATTAAAAAAATTGTATCGTTAAGATTAATATGCAGTTAGGAAGTTTTATAATTACTATTTATAGTAAATTTATCAGAGTAGCTCAATATTTTTTTGCATTTTTAACGTAATAGATAACTTAAATAGAAATAATAGTAATCATTTCCTAATAACTTTTGGTGTTTAAAAAGATTCTACAATGGAAATTTGAACATAATTAATTTTAATGAATCAATAAAAAAAAAGTTGTTAATAAGAACTACTCAATAGAGTGTATTATAAAATTTCATTATCATTGTAAAAATTCATTGTTAATTCAGGAGAAACTAACAATAATTTTTTTTAGAAATGATTTATATAGCAACATGTTACCAATAAATTTGGAATATTACAGTCTAGTAGTAGCACACACAAATAGAATAAAAAAAGTATTAAATTACTAAGTAAAATGATTTAATTTTGTATTTGAAACCAAACTTGATTCGCCAATAAATATTTTGAAAACATTAGAAATGAATGATTTTAATTGTCTGCATGGAGAACATGGGATAACTATTTAATTGATAAATTAGCATTTTTTTTCAATTTTTGAGGGTAATATCTTCAACTAGATACGAATTGTAGTCATTTGATGTATCGTTGAAAAAAGTAGATCAAGTTAGAGTAGAGAAAAAAAATGATAGCCACAAAAAATATCTTCTCAGCTTTACATCGAAGCTAAAACTTAAAATATAGTCAAATAATTTTAATATGAATAAGAAATTTCTTCTCGTGAGTGGTGACTACAGTTTGGGTTTCTTGAACTTATTATTAAAGTTATTGAATATAAATGAGATAAAAATCAAAGCAGTTGAAAATTTTTTCTAACTTAAAAAGAATTAAGAAAAAAATGCAAAAAATGCTTTGCCATACACGGGTTGAAACCTTGTACCCCTTGTAAAACACAAGTTTTACCGACCTGACAGCCGTACGTCGCTAACGTCGTCTGAAAAAAATGGCTATTTAAGCAAGTTCAAATTTCAAAGTTATTTTTTTTTGACTTCAAAAAAGCAAAAAAATTTAAATAAGATTAACTTTCTATGCTATATCAATTTTATTTATATAATATTTATGAAAATCAGTGTACTCCCCTTGTCAGGTATTTTAAAATAAAATAAAATACAAAACCCAGAATTTTAACACAAAAATAGTATATTTTTGAATACGGTAGTCATTTTTATGTCATTTCATTTTTATTTAAAAATTTACCATTTTGAAACCCTTCCTGTGGGCTGGTAAAGGGTCAAATGTTCACAAAAATATATAAAATGATAGGTAAATACCTAAGGTATCTATAAAAAAAAATATATATATCATCATTCGGTTATTTTTAAAAAGGTTATGGCAATTTTAAGCAAAAAAAATTAAAAAAATGTCAAAAATTACTGATTTTTAAAATTGTAATTTTTTTTAAATTTCCTCCATTTACGGGGAACGATGAAACTTTTTCAATTTTAGAGAGTAATGTCTTCGACTAGATACGATTTATAATCTTTTGACATATCGTTGAAAGAAATTGGTTCGGTGAGAGCTGAGAAAAAGTGGTAACAGACACAAAAAAAAAAAACACATCATAGTAAAACAAATACCTTCTCAACTTCGTATTAAAGCTAAAAAAATTGAAATTTTAAATCAAAAAATCTATTTTATAAATACACAAATAGACCTAGAGAAATTAACTTTCATGAGAGGCCATTAAGAGGACACTATACGGCCAAACGAAACAACGATATGACCGAGAGAATGCGCTTTTAGATGTTTTACAACCGAACTCTTCAATCACCCTCTGTCCATCATTCCATATAGCACCCGCACACCTGTATGGCCGTCTAATATTATTTTGGAGCAGCACATCATTCTACTATTGACTGTTACGCTATGCGTTACATATTATTTTCATTGATAAAGGCGATAAAGCTCTCATAATATAAAACAAAATGAATTTGTAATTGTAATAAAATATCATAAGATTATAATATGATAATGATGTATTTTTTTTTTTTTTTTTTTTTNAGGTATTAATTTTACCATGATGTGTTTATTATTTTTTTTTTTTTTTTTTGTGTCTGTCACTACTTTTTCTCAGCTCTCCAATCACAAATCTCCAAAAAAATTACAAATTTAAAATTCGGTAAATTTTGTCATTCTTTTCACTTTTAGCTTCGATGCGAAGCTAAGAAGGTATTAATTTTACCATGATGTGTTTATTATTTATTTATTTTTTTTTTGTGTCTGTCACTACTTTTTCTCAGCTTTCACTGGACCGATTTCTTTTATCAATACGTCAAAAGATCACAAATCGTATGTAGTAGAAGACATTACCCTTAAAAATTGAAAAAAATTCCCTCATTCCCCGCAAATTAAATTACTAAAAAGACTACTACTACTATAAAGATTTTGCAAAAAGATGTTGATCCGTCCTGCTGCCCACGGATATAATGTATACTTTGGACTCATATTCATAACAAGAATGTTTTCTAATGGTACAAAATAAAACTCCACGTAAATTTCTGACAGATTTCCGATCAATAGATATTTTCTTTATATTTGCATTATTATTTACGTGTAAAAATGAACACAGTAAAGTTAAAATTTAAGTCTCATTACCCGTCAATAATAACAATTATTTTACAAATTCAGATAAGCGACTGCTAAATGGTACCCTGATTTGTCGATAACAAAGTATAAAAATAACTAGTTTTGATCGTTGGCAAGGTAGCAATTGAAGGGTGAGGGTAATCGGTTACCGTCATTCAACAAAAAATTCGTCACGTTATAAATGCCACTAGGGACCGACACATGTCAATAGACAAAAAATTCATTATTTTGCATAAAAACTGTTTTGCGCGGGATTACTTTATTTGATCTGTATCGATGCTAGAGTCCCAAATTTTTTACCAAATTATAAAGGAGAAAATTATCTGTGATCTAGTGTTTTTATAATTTTGATAACACAACTCTGAAGCTATTTATTAAACATTTAAAAAACCAAAAAAATAGTAATGTTTAATAGTAAATATAAAGTACTAGAAATTATGCTGTTTCCTTACTTACTGAACATCTTATATAATATAATTTAAAGTAGCACACATATATGATACTTATTTTAATAAAAATAAATCTTGATAAGTCAAAATATGTTAAATTTCTCTATATATTACTTACATTAATTAATTGAGTTAAGTTAGCAGCATAATCTTTCACTGAATTAATTGATCCATTTGAATTAATAATAGACCAAATTGCACCACCTGCTACAATAACTCTTGGGTCATTGTTAATGCTCTAAACAAAATATAATATAAGTTTATATAAGATACAGAGAATTAAAATAAAAAAAAAAAATCTTACTTTTAATTTAATCATGGAATCAATAACATAAGGACTCCAAATAAAACTGACATCTAACTTTAAACGGCTATCATGAAAATTATAATCAGATTCAAGGGCATATAGAGACTTAGGATTTGGAACTAATTGAGCATTTGGTTCAATAGTATGTATGAACGCATTATACATTTCTAACATCCTAGAATCACCAATGAATACAAATTGATTTTTGTAGCCTCTAAATGCTAAGTACTGAAGACAACGACTACAATCTCTGAAATAAGATAAAAATGGCTATAAATAAAAATATTTCTTAAAAAAAATTATAAATTAAAATTAAATTGTTAAAGAACAAAATATTATAAGTATAAATTGTATACAAGAGAGAAATGGAAGTAAATAACAAATTGTTATCATTATCACAATCTCAATTATTTTCAAAAAAGTCAAATTTATTTGTTTAATTTTTCTATATACTATATTTAGCATTATTACTGAGATAAGAAACTATTATTTAAAATATTAGTAGAGTCATAAATATATGACAAATTGAATAACTTTTGAACTAATTAACACATATTATACAATATACTTTTAGACTATATTAATTATAGTCTAAAAGTATGCAAGAATTATTTTAACACAAAACTGATTAAATTTAAAAATATTAATTTTTTCTTAAAGTTTTCTATTTAAATTAGTAGTTATGTTATTTAGTTTTAAATATAAATGTTAGTAAAAATGATTAATATTTACGTCTTCATTTTACAATATGAATGCTTATCTGTATTTAATACTATAAAATCTTTAATAGATAAAAAAAAGTTATTATACTATTTCAGCTTTTTTCTTTTATCAAGGAAAGAACTAGACTAGACTTTTCAGGCCTTTACAAGATTTTAAATATCAATTTTTTTATAATATGAATGTGTTACTTAGAATGTTAAATAAAAATTTTCTTTAATTTGATATAAAATTTATAAATTTTAATAGCACTATGTTACATTTTAAATCATATTTAAAGGCGGGGGCTTCATTTGAAAATAAGTTCCTACAAAATACATATTATTTAAAAAAAAATCTAAGGGAAAAAATTAGTTCCTTCAAATTTTTGACAACCTACACTTTCCCTTAAAATGTACTAAATATCAGGTTTTAATTCTTCTTCTTTTTCCCCGCCTTAATCCCAACTACTTGGGGTCCTAAACTTCCACTTGACAAGATGTTCCACATCATCTATGCTCACATCAGACGTCCTCATATTACATTAAATAACATCCCTCTATCCCTTTTTTGGTTTTACTCTACCTCTTTTTCCTTCAGGTTTATAATTATTTTCGATTTATTTAATAGTATAGCCAAGGAAAGAACTAGAGAAGCTTTAATAATAATGAATTTAAATTGAAAAAAGTAAAAAATAGACATTATGTCAATTTTATTTGCTCATAAATAATTGTGTCAAAAACGAAAACATTTATTATATTAAAATGTTTGTATTAATAAAGCCATAAGATATTTAACAAAAACTTACAATTCACTGTACTTATGCATCATGCAGCCATATGGCTGCCATCCCATGTCACCTTTGTATCGACCATCTGATAAAAGCCATTTGCATGAATCCCTGGCTAAAATTGATTAAGTACTAATTTTCATTTACAAAATAGAATAATTAAAATTTATTAAAACTTACAATAAAATAAATGTATACATGAATGTATAACAATGAACCAAAACACACAACATAATGCTATTTTTTTAGTGTTTTTCAAATTAAATTTAATATTAAAATCGTTGTAGATTTGTTTTTTTTCAATATATAACAATGGAACATTATCCGATATATGGTCATCAGACATTTTTCATGAATGTGATGGACACATTGTTTGTAATTAATACTGTTATATTTTATTATATTGTTCAGTTTTTCAACAGTTTATTTTTAATGATTAAATATAACTTATACCTAAAATATATAACTTTAATAACTTCAAATACTTAAAATTATATAAAAAATATAATTTACTTTTACACTACTGATGAATAATATAGTAGCGACATCAGTGATTTGTAACAAACGATAAGGTAACCAAGACATAATTAATTCTTTACAATAAATAATTCTGTATATTTGTACCGCGCACTAAGTCATTAGTACAGTAACAATAACAATTCACTTCTCAAAAAAAAATTATCCCGTTTGTAGAATATAAAAATTAGTTTAAACAATGTTGCCAGTCAATATTAATTCATTTTTATCAATATTATGTGTGAACACTTGTTAATATGGTTGAGGTATTATTAGATAAATAGTCTTTATAGTACCGTGGTTAAATTATTTTTCTAACCTAGTTCGATATGTTTTATTATCAAAAACAGAAAAGAGCTTAAACACGAACTAAAAAATTAAGATAGACTAAACATGAGGTCTTTTCCCGTAGAAAAAAGAATTTTAAAGTAACGTTGCTATCTAATGTTTTACATTTGTCAGTTCCCCATTTAGTTTTTTATATTTTGTGTTCCAAAACATGTGTGTCGTTAAAGCTTATTGCTCGCCGAATATTCCCCTTCTAAAGAATTTCTACAGTAAAACCGGATCGCAGTTTTTGGTGATTAGCAATCCAGAGAAAAATTTTTTAGTTAACAAAAAAAAAATTTTGTGGGGGCAGCAACGCCTGAGCGACAAATTTCTAAATACGTCTCTGAATTTATGGAAATAATTATCCAATGTTATGCCGAGTAGGTCGATAAGTTAGCAAATTTTAAATTTAATTAGTATAGGTAAAGGTTAAGTTGATATTTTTTTAACTTTACTCGGTTTAAAAAAAATTTATTTCATAGTTTCGGTCTTTAATTATTTTTGGCCCAAAATTGGTTTTTTATTGGTCTGTGATAAATGGAAGTCAGAAAATCTATTTTCAAAAACTGCGGTTAGAAAAACCGTGAAAATTGTTTTGTGTAATGAGGCTGCACTAGAAATGTTAAAATTTGGCCCAAATAGACACATTCGTGATCAAAAGGACCTCTAAAAAAAAAAAATGGGAATACAGTGAATTACAGTTTTAGTGATACAAGAATTATTTATTTTGTTTTTCTGTATAGTTGAAAAACTAGGTTAGGTGGTTATTATTATCTATATTTGTGGTAGTAGCTATAGTCCCTACTCAATTTCGTTAAATTTGAATATTGAATAATTTGAAGCTTGTCAACCACATTGCCTTGATTTTTCAAAAAATAATAATTCTTGTGCCAATGAAACTGAATTGCAGTAAATTCCCAATTTTTCGTTTCAAACTTTTCTATTAACATGCTTATCTGATTCCGTCTGTTTACATTACTCATCATAACGAATAAAATAGTGTTTAGGCCAAAAAAAAAGGGTAATGTTGCTATTTCAGCAACGATAATGTATATATACGATAGATTATCTCATTATTTTTCTTATCCCCTCCCGAATAATCATTTTTTAAGCATATCATTTAATTTATAATATAATAGTGTAATTATAACAGTGTTGTATGAAAATTATGAAGTCTGTAATATTAGTTTTTAATTTACCAGTTATTGATAATTTTATTTTTAAATGTGAATAGTCTATTTCTTTTACCCCTTAATCATTATATCATTATCTTTATTTACATCTGTTAACATACCTATCAATTTATTTGATACCTTGAAAATGTTAATGATGGTAGTATGATAAACTAAATATATATACATTCAGTTTATGTACTTTATGTAAGGTCTACAGGTATTGAAATTAGGGTCACATGTATAATAGTACTTGTCATTGAATTTTGGTTATAGCCTAGAGTAGACTAGTGGAGAAACGGGCAAACACGTGCTGATTAATTTTTTAATTGGTCATAATTTCACAAATGTGAATATACTTATCATTTATTTAATGAAATACGTTTTTCAATTATTCTAATCTCGTTTAATAGCGCGAGATAATTATCATACGCCTCTAAATTATGTATACATGTTCACTGTTTTTTTAAGATGTCTTATTCAACATTGAAGAAAGCACTCCAGTTATTTGAAGATTCTGTTTCAGAAAAAAAAAAAAATAGTATGTATTATTTATAAGATTATACTATGTTACTAATTACTAATTACTAATTAGATCATCAATTGCAATATAATTTATAAGGTACTTTTAGTTTTTTAATTACATTTTTATTTTGTTAATGTTTTATTTTATTTTTTGAGTATTGATCTTAATTTGTTTAATGACCTTTTGTTTGCAAATTAATTTACAATATGGCTTAAGTACTAGTTAAAAAATTAGCTTTAAATTTAATGTTACATAGTTAGAACATTGTTTCTAAAAAATTTGTTAAATTTTCAGTAAAAAAATCATCGTATATAATAAGTAAGTCCAAAAGAAAAATTCAGAGAGCCAAAAACATTTTCAAAGTTCCTGAAGTAATAAAATCCAATGCTAATAAATCTATAAAAGAGATTCAAGAAAAAATACGTAATGAAAAAGAGTTAAATTTAGTTCAGATTAATTTAGAACGTTTAAACAAACTTGACAGGACTAGTTGTATTAATAGCACTGCTTCAAAGTTGGTATGAAAATCAAGTTATTAATTATAAATAATAAAAATGTATATATTTTTAATATAATAATTTATATAATATGTAATATTATATAATATTTATATAAATGTGTATGGCTTATATGGTCATATTCTTAAAGTAAATAAAAAAAATCTTAAAATTTATTGACCTCTATAAAACTTCTAAACTTCATTTTTTGGTTTAAAATTTTATAAAACTTTATTAATAAAGTAAAAAATTTTAAAGTATAAAATTTTATAAAACATTTATCAACTTTATTAATAGCCACATATTTACATAGTAAAGTTGTCTAATCCATTAAATTCTGATTTTGTATAAAATTATTGTATTAAATAATTCCTTATAGTATAAGAGAGTCTGTATCAAATTTATGTGAGAATTTGAACAAAAATGAGAAAATAAATGTGTACTGATCATTTTTGAAAATAAAAATTTTCAATCCTGACAACCAAGGGAAGAGAAATGGGCCAAAAAATTTTAATTATCTTAAAATAGTTAATGTTGATATTTTTAGTTTAAACTTTATGTTGAAATAACTTTTTGAAAACTCAATGAATTATTGCGAAATTTTTATTGATATAACTTTACATATTAACCTTTCTTATGACATACTTTTTTGAAAATCCACTTAGTCAATATTTTAATTATTTTTACTGTTCCAAAATACATTTTTTAAACAAACATCAAATTAAAATTAATGTACTTTGAGATAAAAAGAAACTATCTGAAATCTTGATTTCTAGAAGATATCAGAAATTAAAGTCAATAATTATAAATATTTTGTAAAAATTGCTAATCTTGATGTGTTTTATATAATGATGGAATATCTCCATTGCTCAATACTAAATAAACTTGTAGCATCTTTAATGTACTACCAGAAATATATTTGGATAACTTGTTTTTTTTAAAAGATTGTTTCAAATATTGATGCTTTTTATGACAATGACTTAAATCATTACTAGATAGATATCAATCAATTCTAATATAAAATAAGCCTCAACTCTATTTTGCTGTATTCCTATTGTACTTTACTTTTTTTTTTTTAGATTGAACAACGTTACAAAAGCCCATCAGCTTCACTATCTAAAAAAGAACAATCTGTCTTTACTGATGAAGATTTTGAGAAGTTTGAACGTGAATATTTTCAAAATTAATGGATGATTTTGTACTCGGAAAAATTATCATCATTGTTGTACTTACAGTATTTATTTATTTTACTTGTTGGTTATTTATACCACCATTTGCTGACTCTGAATCTTTTGTTATTAATCTTTTTCCTGAAGTTCGTTATGCTCTTATTCTGCCTGTTACTTGTGGTGTAATATTTATAACCAGTTTAATAGTTTTTACATTAATTGAAATAAATTACTACTAAGTTATGTCTAAACGCTTAGTGGTTGTAATTGCGGGTGTTACTTGTGGTGGTAAAAGCTCTATTGCCAGCAAACTTTTTAATATATTTGATAGTGTTAGTGTGTTTCATCAAGATGAATTTTATTATTCTGATTACGATACTCATTTAAAAAAAATTCCAGAACTTAACTATCATAATTGGGATGAAATAGGTGCATATAATATGGACCAAATGGTAGCCTCTGTTGCATGCACATCTTTAAAAAACCTCATAATTTTGGAAGGTATTCTTTTACTAGATGACGCTAGAATTGTTAAGTTTGCCGATTTAAAGTTTTTTATTATCATGGACAAAGAAACTTGCTGGAATAGACGTTGTAAAAGACAATATCTTCCACCTGAACCTGATGGATATTTTGAGAATTATGCATGGCCACAATATGAAAAACATTTAACTAAAGTAAAAGAAAATAATTCAGATGTTATATTTTTGAATGGTACTGATAGTTTAGAACATAATGTAGCTATAGTTATGGATATAATTAAAAATAAACTTGATGAATTTTATGTCTGTATTTTATATTTTCCTCTTGACTTAAAATACTCTCAAAATTTTGCTAACAAATTTATAAGAATATTTACCATTGGCGAATTAATATTTACTGGACTTTTTTTAAATTTAATTCATGTATAAAAAAAATCAAATTTTGTCAACTTTACTAAAAAATTTATAATGTAAATTAATTAATGTACTAAGTTAAAAGAAATCATTATTTTAATTAGATTTTTTATTAAATGTTATCTAAAAAAAAAGGGAATCATTTGCTTATAACAATACCTCAATTGAAAATTTTCTTTTAACATACTCAAATCAATAAGAATCGAGTGAGCATGAAGATTATATTTTGTATAAAATCATTTTATTAATTTATTGTACATCATGATGTAAAATATAGTTTTAATCACTATTATTTATTTAATTAATTAAATATAATATAAATTTCAGCAAGTGACATAATTCAAAAAAGCAATTTTAGGGGAAGCAAAGTAACATTGTCTAATAAAATATAAATGGCTAATATGCATGGCTATGCTTCAGGCAATATCTTAAAAAGTTAATAATACCGTTATCCTATATTGTGTAACTTTTCAAAATAAAAATATTATTATAACACCCTCTATTTAAAATAATATCAACTTAAATATTTTTAGTGAATACATATTTTAAAAATAAGAAATGATTTAATTAAAATAATGACTGTTTGTTTTAACTTATAATATTGTAAAAGATTTTAACTCCTTTATACTAGAGCGATCTGGTTTGTAAACACCTCGAGATAAAAATAAACAGGCCTGCGATTTACCTCTAACCATTATAGTAGTGTTAATATCTTTCAAAATACTAGTTGGAAATTTTATTACTACTGAATATTTTTTTGTATGAATATTTCCTTATTTCTGATGTAGTTGAACATGTTTTCATTTTAATTCTTTTAAATATTATAAAGGGGAAGTGGTGGATAACACCAATTTTTATTTTGAACATAAGATATGTATTATTTCTGAAAAAAATGTGTGTTATACATTAAATATTGCCTAGATATAGTTAATCAACCACCTTATTCCTTATCAACCATCTTATTTAAATAATGTAAATATTATCAGCTGCCAATAATCTTAAAATCAAGATGTATATTAAATAAACAAAAAGACTTCTTTACTATTTGATGACAAATTAAATTTTTACTAGACTCTTCTGTGAAAACTAATATTTAATTTAATGAAACTTTTCTGGATTAAAATTTAGTATTTTTTTATTTATGTCTGTGTAACAATCAGAAAAATTTATAATTATATTATCACTATTCTTGTCAATGGACAATATTAATTAACTTTGATGTTATTACATTTTAAGAATTGTAAATGTTAAAATGATATGAACAGATTAATTTTTTTGACTAATTAACTTTATAAATATTACAAAATAATTTTTTAAAAAAGTCGAGGGCTATGTGAAAAATTGCAACACAGATTTAATTAAATAGCAAAATAACTTTAATAGAAAACTGAATGAAATCATTCAGTTTTGAAAATATTAAATATTTTTTTAACATATGAATTAGAAATAACAATCATACAGCATAATATAAAATGTAAGCACCTTAAAAAATATATACATGACATTATACATTTTATATATAATATATTTGAATATTGTACTAATAGTTTTTACACACATTAACAATTATAAAAAAAAATATATTAATAATAAATGATTCCAATCCATAATGATATTAAATATCAGTAATTAAAGTTTGAATCATAAACAAATTTATTTGTCACCTTCACTTTTGAAGAAAGTTTAAAAAAGTAGAAAGTGATAAATGCTTCCAAAATACAAAAATGTAAATTTTTTCATATAAATGTACTTAAAAAGTACTTTAATTACAACCCAATATTATACTTCAAATTTGAGATCCCAGGCGCGGTCTTGGTAATTCTCCAAAAATTCTATCACCATGAACACTTTTTGCTAATGCTTTAATACTAGCTGCAATGTCCGTTTTATTTTCTGTTTTTCGGGCAATCTAAAACAAGAACTCAATTTTTAATTTTAAATTGCAATGATATTTTCTATTAATTTTAAAGATATAATCCTATATATTCCTTTCATATAGAATATGAAAAATAATATTTAAGATTTTAATTATATATAACATGAAATAAAATTTGATCAAACCCATTTTCTTTCATAAATAATGTAAAAAATAATTAAATTCATAGTCTTATAATGTAAGCCATTTCCAAATGTATTATTAGACCAGATTTATTTGTTTTTGCAATCTTATGGAAATAAGAAATATAGACAATTCATTAAACACCGAGTTTATAGAAAAAAGTTTTTTTTACATATTTGATAATATTTCATGGATTACAGAATATTAAGGTAATCTAGCATATTTATAAAAACAAGAGATAATTAATTTAAATTGTTATGCTAAAGAACTTGTTATGAGAAGAGAAGAATCGGAAGCCGTAAGAACAGTTGTAGAAATGAATGTTGAAGGAAGAATAGGTAGAGGAAGACAATAAAAGAGATGTATTGAATGTGATATGAGGACAGCTGATGTGAGCGTAAAGGATTTGGGAGATTGTATCAAGTGGAAGTTTAGGATTAGGGTGGCCAACCCCAAATAGTTGGGATTAAGGCGAGGAAGAAGAAGATGCTAGAGTACTTGAAAATTATGTTTAATTAACAATAATTAAATTTTTTTTTGTGTCACTCATACATAAAAAAACTTGATTACCCAACTTGCAAGTATAAAGTCTAAATAAATAAAATTTTAAGTTTCGATTCAAAGCTGAAAGGTATTGATTCTATCATAATTACTGAATGTTCTGTACTAATTATAATATATTTTGACAAGTGATGTTATTTTTAATCACGTAAAAGTTTTCACCATTACTATAACTAGATTAAAATTTTTGTTTGAGATTAGAGGAATATATTCCACCTTAAAACAAAAAATATTTCTATGTAATGGGCGGATGTTCACAGAAAGACAAAGGAGGTAATTGACCCTCTTTGACATTTGGTGCTTGGGCACTTTTTATAATGGTTATACATTAAATAATTTTGTAAAATAAATTTTTTAACTTTGATGTGAAACTGAGAAGCTATTGGTTTTTTTGTCTGCACATATAAATTCTCAGTTTTCACTAAGTTTATATTGAAAATCTATACGTCAAAAGAACCCAAATTTAATCTAGTTGAAAATATCACATTTAAAAATTGAAAAATCCCTCAATTTTTAAAATTAAAAAAAAATCACCTGTATACATACCTATAATTAGATAGGGGATAATAATGTTAAATTTAAATTGTTTTTTAATACTCACAGGAATATGTAAATTGGCATCATGTGGAACACTTCCACTATGTATCATAAATTTGGGAACATTTACTGGAAGTGATGAAGCTACTTCTAATTGCTTAAGGTGTGGAATGTAAATTCCTTCATCATGGCTTCCGGATTCTACTGAAAACACAAAATAATTTTTAGATTTACCAAAAATTTACTTAAATAAATATAATAATACTTATTTATAAATAATATAAATTATAATCAATGTAAGTTCAAACCTTCGGATTCAGAGATATCATCATCAGAAACACAAACAGTCTGTGAGTTATCCATATCCTCTAAAGGGAATAATCCTTCAGCGTCATATGATGCTGGAGGTAGACCACTATCGTTACTTCCACCTACCAAAGGAATTTTAATTAAACTTGTTTTTAATGCCATACCATTTCCATCGCCCTAAAAAACATACATATGAGCTAAATAGTAATATAAAGTATAACTTTCAATACCTTATTATATGGTTTAAAGGTGTAATCCATTAAATTCATTATAGGATTATTTTTTACTGTAGTAATAACTGGTTTTGGTATTGTTTGTACAGGTGATAACAACTTATTGGTGGTTGTTCGGGTTGGTAAGTTATTAAAGTTGGGTAATTGGTCTTTATCCAATATAATTCTATAATATTTTAGATTTTAGAAATATATTAAGCAATTTCAATAAATATTTAAATTACTTGGCTAAAGAATGAAAATCATTTTGAGCTTTAGTACGAAATTCGTCTAAAGTAGAATATTGATTTTCAGTGAATTTTCGAATTTTTTCTTCTACTATTTTTGTTTCCTCTTCAATTTTTTCACTCATTTGTCGTTGTAGAACTTTAATTTTAGGTGGCATTAAAGCTGTAATGTAACAATAATTTTTTTCTCTAATTTTTTAGAAAAATATTTAAACCAAAAGAATTCATACCTGATGACCTAGGAGAATAAATTTGATTAGAATCATCAGTCCAGTTAATAAATATTTTATATGTCGGTGAAAAACAAACTGAATTTTTTAAATCTTCTAAATGTTTTTCATCAGTCTAAAAGAAAATGTATTAATTTATAACTATGAAACATCTAGCAATCAAAATCAAATTATAGGATAAGATTATTTTCAATGACATGCTTAGAATAGTTTAATGAGTAAGGGGATACATTAGAAAATATTATACTATTTTAAATCATGTTTTCTCTAACCGTACATCACATTATCGACTTAAATGTAAGTGTATTGGCATATAAACCAAAAGTGCACAGTAGCCTAGTAGTTAGGTTTGTTTTAACGATGCCTTTGGGTTGCAGGTTCTAATCCTATACTATACCTTTTTTTTTCAAATGATTTTCAATACATTTTTGATGATTGGCTATTAATCAACGACAATCGTGTCAAAATCAATAGTTACTAATTTTATTTTTTTTTTCAAAAAGTTAAGGATTAAGAAATATTATTTTTCATTGGTAAACTTCATTGAAAAATTGTTATTTTTTAATTAAAAAGAAAGGAAGTATTCAAATTGAGAAAACCTATAAATAAGATTGTAAATTTAGAAATTGGAAGCCACTACCCTTTTGTTGTCTTTTCAATTAAAAAAAAAAATGTTAAATTTTTGGATATTTTTGATAGTAATGTGTATTATGCAAACAAATATTAGTTGAAACAAATTTTAAGGTCACCTAAGCTTAAGTCTGTCAGCTAAGGTGACTGATTTAAGTACTTTTAAGACTCTCATAGAATGGGCTTTCATGTCATCAAACCCCCAGAAGGAGAGAACTTTAACCTAATTCCTACACATTTAAGCTTGTTGAACTGAAAAATTATTTTAATTTTAAAATAATATTAGCCACAAATGATTAATCCTGATTATATGTATATGTATTATTTATTTATTATTAGTTTTGATAACTTATACATTATAAGTAAAAATACTGAGTAAAATGAATATTTTACTTTTCCATATTTATAATCAGTGTAAAAAAACACATTGATTAAAAACTTTTTTTTTTTAATTGTGTTAAACTGCATTCATAGTCAATGATTTACAATTTACCACTTAGAACATAAATATCAAAAAATAACATTGATTATTAACATTTATTTTGCTACGAGAACATACCAATAAATCTGGACTTATTAAAATTGAAGAAGTTTTTCTATCAATAGGTTCAGCATAACACAGCATATTACAATTAAGACATTCATATGTAATCCACCTATTAACTTTTTCTTCATGTATTAAACAGTCCTGTCGTTTGATAACTGCAAGGGCTTCATGACATAAAAGTTTCTACAAATATTTTTGAAATATTAGGAAACTACATGAAAATAATTTTTAGTTAAACTTACCTTGTTAAAAAAATGTGTGTTATAACTATCATCAAAGTTACACTTGTCGAATTTGACGGTTTCTCCCTTAGTTTCTATTTGAATGTTTAAACACTTGCACGAAAAAATCATTATTAATGAACTTGATGAAATTTCACAGAATGGCTAGTCAGCTTAGAATACCGGTGTAAACAAGCAGCTGATTAATATGACATCGAATACCTATTTACAACATACAGCGTACTTCACGAACGAACAAACAGTTAAAATTAATTTATTTTACGGCTTCAAATGTAAACTGTAAATTGTTATATACCTATAAAAGATATTTACAATTTTTTTTGTAAAACCTTTTCACAAGTTAAGACAAAGGATGATCAAATTTTGGTTATGGAATATTGAATTGAACAACAACAATAGAACGAATGGCATAAACAGATGACGGAAACAGCTGAGATGACCTTACTCTGGCGCCTGGATTGCTAGTACAGACTGTTAAAACTCTGGTAATAGGTATACAGGTATATTATGATTCGAGTATAACATGGTTCAAACACCAAGCAATATCACAGAATATGGCAATATCTAGCAATCGAGATTTACTATTCCATCGTAGAGACAAATATATAATGTAATTTTTTACTAGTTAACATAAAAATAAATAAAATTTTGAATTCTAAATTCTACCATATATATTTTTTAATTTAAAAAATCATATTTTCTAAAGTTAAAAAAAAAATTTAGCTTAAAAATGTTACCCAATGAATATAATATTTCTGCAAACCTACCAGCACTTAAACTGATTAAGTTAATTATATTTAGTCAACTTTTTTTCTTATTTTATAAAAACAAAAATAACGAATTAACTTTAACTCGTTAAAACAATTTGTTAACTTTTCCAGCCTTGAAAAATACTACTAAAAAGTATTCATTTTTTAAATATTAATTTTTGTATTATCTAAATAGTACATAGAGATTATTGATATAATTAGTATTATGCTAAAATATATAAACTATTTTGGGAGAGAGAATCTGATATAAAGTGTCCTAGAACTTCGATTATTACTTACGTTTAACAAAGAAATAGAAACAAGAAAAATTGTTCAATTAGAATATTTCACCAAAAAAGATTTTTGTAATAAATAAAATGTTGATGGTAACCAACTCGTTACATATTTTGTCTATGAATTACTTATGTTTCTCGAAAATTTTAAATGGATAAATCCTTTAAGATTCTATTAGTTAAGAAATACAATTTTATATTTTATAAATTAAAATTAATAAATAATTTTATAATAAAAATCAGTAATATTAATCGTAATTGGATGGCCCGAGTCTAACTTAACATCCCGGTAGATTATTTTTGTGATCTGTCGTGAGATTCAGTCACGTGTATTGTAACTTTTGTCATAAATTATTATCACGTTATATGTGATTATATATACTTATGTATGGAAAAGAGAAAGTACTTTACTAAAAGAATTTTCTAAAAGTACTAATAAATGGAAACAGTCGCTTCTGGAATTATTACTTAGTCTTACTGTTATGCAGTAATTTTAAAATACATAATAAAAATGATTTTTTTACTATTACATTTATTTAATTGGTTGAAATATCAAATGGTTTACTATATTCTCGGAGCTTTTGCTATAATTGATGATTTACAAAACCGCGAAAACAACAAATTTGGTGCGTAATTTTGTAAAATTGATGTAAAACTGATTTATAATACAATCTTTATATTTTAGAAATAGAAAAAAAACGGGGTAAAGTAGCTGTTATCACAGGAGGGGCTCGAGGTATTGGACTAGAAGTCGTTAAAAAATTGTTATCGTGTGAAATGCATGTAATTATTGGTAATTCAAATACCTTTATTTTTTAAGTCTATTTTTCAAGTTTCCACCTGTAATTTTAATATGATATATTATAAGGAACTATCCTGTTATTTGAATTTTAACCGAATTCTAATTAAAACAATGTTCATAATTATATTGCTACGATAGCTTATTATATATATAATTTAATGAATCTTCGGCAGAGATTACTTAGAAGAAGAGCCTACATTGCATTATTGAAAAATTATTAAAGTATCAAATTATAGATAGTTGTAGAAAATATTTTTTATTTAAAGTTGATTAAAAATGACTCAAAAGTACAAATTTTTACTAAATTTATTAAAACTTCTAAAATTAAAACATGCAAGAGGCGTTCTCCTAAACAAATGTTCATATACTAAATAAATTTTTTAGTTATTTCATTGCCCTATTAACTGATTGTTTAAATTTTAAATTTCAAAGTTTACTTGATTTAAATATTTTATAAAAACAAATTTATTTTAAACTTCAATAAATTAAAGGTTAAACTTTACATGATTTATTTATAAAATACTATTACCAACAATTTTTATAATAGAAGTAAATAAAGACTGTTTACTTCAAAGTAGTATTTATTTATTTAAAGTAAAAATTTCGAAAATTATAATAGTAATTGTTTTTAGGTTGTCGTAATGTAAAAGTAGGCGAAAGTGTTCTACAACAACTCGCCTTATCTAACATGTCATTTGAAGTATATTCTCTTGATCTCAAATCATTTTCATCTGTCAAAAATTTTGCTCAACGTGTGTTATCTAAATATAGTTGTATTGATGTATTAGTTAATAATGGTAAATCATTTTAAATTGTCATATAAAAAATTAAAAATTAATTTATGTGTAATCATTATATAAATCTAAAAAAATGTTATTTATTTTAGCTGGAGTTATGTTTGTTCCTTATGAAATATGTGAAAATGGTTTTGAAGCACATTGGACTGTCAATTATTTAAGTCATTTCTTGTTGATTAAGTTATTGCAGCCAGTTTTAAAGCAAAAAGTTAAAAATGGCAATAATGCAAGAATTGTAAATGTTACTTCTTGTGCTTATAAAGTGTCACCTCCAATTGACTTTAATAAACTAAATGATAAGTAGGTACAATATATATTATATTAAATAGTATTCAGAAGTATATTTTTTTAAGTATAACCATTAGGATAATGTTTTGTTAGTTATATAATTAACCAAGTATTGGAATGCTTATCCCATTAATTAATTAGTAATGGTTTTACTTAGATGTATAGGTACTAGAGTTTGATTCTGTTATCCTAAGCCATGTAGTTTTTCTCATCCTTTTTGGCTTAAACAGTAGTTTTTAAACGGTGATTTTTTGGGGGTATATGGTATATATCCACTAACAATTATTTTTAATTTACTCATTCCCTAAAAAGTTAATAAGAAAAAAAGTTTAAATACTTTTTAAAAAAGTATTAAAGTAGTAGTAGAAAATTATTTAGTAGTATTTTAAATATTTTTAAAAAGTATACTTTTTACTACTGCAGTAAAACTAATAAGTAACTAGAGTTTTAATTTTATTTTTCTGAAAAGAATTGAATACTTAAAATATTACAATACAAACTTTAGCTGAAGTTTAGCAAAGTGTTATTGGAAGTTATTTTTGTGTACATTAAATATTCTATTAATATTTATATAATTATTTTACAAGATTATATCTGAATTTATATCAAAAATTATGTTATGTTCACAGGGATAGTTATTTATCATATGCAGCTTATGCAAAATCTAAATTGGCACAATTGATTATGACAAAATATTTAAGTAAAATATTAGAAGATTCTCATATTCGAGTAATTGCTGTGCATCCTGGTATAGTTGATACAGAGATTTTTAATGGTACATTTTTGAAACTGGCTTTTCCATGGATTTTGAAACATTTGTGCAAGGTATAGTATTATATAAGAAATTTATTTTATTGAAGTTGTTTAAATCAGATTTAAAAATATAAAAAAATAATAATTAGTTATGCGATAAAAGAATTCCTACGAAGCTGAAAGGTAAATTCTATAAGACTGTAATGAGACCAGTTACGATGTATGGTTCAGAGTGTTGTGTGGTTGATAAAAAAGTAAAGCAGAGATGAGAATGTTTAGATGAATGGAGTGATTAGAGAAGATAGGTTAAGGAACGAACATATAAGAGTGAGTATATGTGTAGCGTCAATCGTGGATAAGATGAGAGAAAATAGATTTAGATGGTTTGGTCATGTTATGAAGAGAGAGGAATCGGAAGCTGTAAGAACAATTATAGAAATGATTGTTAAAGGAAGAAGAGGTAGAGGAAGATCAAAAAAGGGATGGAGGGATGGATTGACTGTGATATCAGGACTGATGTGGGTGATTGTGCCAGGTGGAAGGTTAGGATAAGAGTGGCTGACCCCAAATAGTTGGGATTTAGGCGAGGAAAAAGAAGGAGAATAAGAATAATTAGGAAATTCTTGCATATAAATGAGTAATTTATTTAATATTCAAGAAGAATTAAAACATTTAGTTTTTTTTTTTAATAAATGTATGAATTATTTTATAAAATTATGGCTTACATTCAATTTTTAAATTTTTTTATAAAGTACTATACTTTTTTAATAATGCTTAACTAATTATCAATGAAATATATAGCTAGAAAGTAATCTAATGTCATTTTTTAACAAACAAATATTAGAGTTCAGAGGAAGGATCTAGAACAATAGCATATGCTTGTGTTTCTAATACACTTGATTGTAGTGATTACTATACTAACTGTCAACCTGCTTTGTGTATACCATATGCCGATAATGTAGATGTGCAAGAAAAGCTCTATTCAACATCAATAAAATTTGTTAAAAAATATCTTTAAAAATAAAAATTATTGACAAGATGATTATGTCCTTTTTTTACAACTTATAGAATCAACTATCTAATTCAGAAAATTAACTTATAAAATTAAGATTTTGAATTATTAACTTTATTTTGTTGGCTATTTTTAAATGTTTTAATTTAAAAACACACATAACAAAGTTATAATATTTTTTATAAGAGCGTGTTTAAATTGAAGTTTATTTGGGAGCTTATGTAAAAATTCTTTTTAATTACTTCTTCAAAACTTTATCTCTTTAAATTGTTACAATAGTCTATAACTAGCTATAACCAAGATCATCATATATTTTATAATTTGGTCAAATTAAGTGAGTATTATTTATTTATTTTTAAGTAGGCATAGATTAGTGGATTCAGATTCGCAATTGAGTCAATAGAATTTTAAATGAATAATTGAAAATTTGGTTTTAATGGTACAGCAAAAGTTCTTTGCTATCCTTTAAACTTCATAAAACTGAGTTAGGAGGTGTAACATCCTAAGTAATGATTTATTATTTTATAATTTGAATATGACTATTTAGTGTTTTTAAGAATTATGAAATTAACAAAGGATATTGATTTATTAAATATTGCTTGAATTAATACTCTTTATAATGGTCACATTGGAAATTATCAATTAAATTTAAGATAAGCTACAAACCCACCATGTACACCATAAGTTTACCTTTGATCATATTCAAAAATCAATAATTTATTCTAGACAAAACATAGTCAATTGAACATTTACATATTATATGATGAAAACAAATTTAAATGTAAAGAATCAGATTCTGTGATCTAATTATAAGTTTAAATGGAAGAAATTATTTATTTTTCATTAATAAAATAATCAATTTTAAGAAAATATTCTAATTAAAGTTTATTATAATAGTTTAAATTTTCTGTACACATTCAAATCCTCATTAATATATTAAATTATATAATAAAGAATATTTTATACTTGTGTTTTTGTTAGTAATATTTTTGTATAATTTAAGTATAAATAATAATAAGAAAATTGAAATAATGTTTGTTCATTTGATATATTTTTTTAATATACATATATCTCATAATTTTTTCATGCATTAATTATTTATTTAAATATTTTCAACAAGTAACTGTGAAAGAAGTTATAAATTTATTTAGAAATTGCTAATAACAATAAAATGATCAGATAAGAGAGAAAATTACAATACTAAAAAAAGTTTATTGTTTATTAAACCTATAAAAAATTAAGAGGTACAACAAAAAAATAAACTTCAAAAAAGGGTTTAAATTTATGCTAAACTTGAGTTATTATAATTTGTCTTAAGGAAGAGTTTGGTAACATAATAAGATAATACATTGTTTAATAAATTTATTCATTTAATAGAATTTAGATATTTTCCCAAATTAATAACATTTTCATTAGTTTAATTAATAATGTTATGATAGTTATGATGTGAACGTAATATGTTAACTTTATTTTTCTGTAATAAAATAACACTAAAAAATACTTAATTTAATTGTATAATACATAATAATAAATTATTGCACGTAAGTGTATAAATAAAAGTCATTACTCGATAAGTTTTAAGTATAAATTTGATACAATGATGCTCTTATTTAAATTAAATGATACTTTTGATGAATTTAATGATAATTAGCAAAAAAAAAAAAAAAACGGAAAAGTTGTCTTGTAAAAATTATTCTCCTAGTCATTTTATAATAAATATACAAATTATAAATAAATTTATTTTAATTATTAAAAATTATTTATTAAAAACTCAATTATTTCAAAAATTATTCTTTAATAACAAACTGATGAAAAGTAAGATATAATTTAATATTGTAAACTTAATTATAACAAATTAAATTAATTCTATCACAACACCTTTAAATAATAAATATAATTTAAATGCTCTGGAATGTTTAAAAAGAATAATTATACCTATATGACTCATAGAATATCAATTAAGCCTATTTAAAAATATATAAAATTAAAATAATTATCAAACAATAAATAGTACTGTTACCAGTCAAAAAAAAAAAAAAAAAA